CTTATTCGATCAACGTTCGTTTCCGTCTTCATTTACCCAGATACCTATCGGATGTCTTTTCAGGATTTAGACGGAGAACTGAGAGTGCAAGGAATAGATAAAAATGGGCCAAGATGAAGAAATTATCAAGCGGGAAGAGTGTGCGAGTGATGGCGGTGCCGATGATAAACTTGTGAGTGTGCCGAAAATTATGCCCATATTGAAGATATTATACTAACAACTATAAGGTCACCTGGGACGGGCCTGATGACCCAGAGAACCCGAAGAATTGGTCTACTCGTCGGAAGTGGCTAGCAGTCATCTCAATCTCTGGTTTTGTTCTGATGAGTCCGCTTCCAACCACTATTGTCTCTCCGGCGATAGACACCATTGCTGAAGAACTCAATGTCACGGTGACAGTTCAGAAGCCTATGGTTATGTCAATATTTCTCCTTGGCTATGCCATTGGGCCCATGTTCATTAGTCCCCTATCTGAGATTTGGGGGCGGACACGGGTACTGCAGTCATTCAACTTTGTGTTTCTGGTCTTCAATACTGCGTGCGGTGTGGCACAGAGTATTGAGCAATTACTTGCCTTTCGGTTCTTTGCTGGACTGTTTGGAAGTTGTACTGTTGGTGTAGGTTACCAATTGCCTAAAGTATCTGTTTTATGTTGATGCTTAGCTTCAGAATAGATCGGAGCTGGGACTCTCGGAGATCTATTCCATGCCAAAGATCGCGGTAAGGCCATGGCAATCTACAGCATATTCCCTCTGATGGGACAAGTCCTGGGCCCTATTGCCGGGGGCTTTTTGACAGAGCGCACGTCATGGCGTTGGGCGTTCTACGCAACGTCCATCATAGACGGCTGCGTGCAGCTCTTCGGCCTCCTTTTCCTCGACGAATCATACACGCCAGTCCTTCTGCGCAGAAAAAGGGACCGCCTCACAAAGGCAGGAGCCACAGGCCTCTACACAGAACACGACTTTCCAAGCGACTCTAAGCTTGAATTGATACGGACAATCATGATCCGCCCAATCAAGCTCCTCTCAACGCAACCCATAGTGCAAGTCATGGCATTGTATCAAGGCTACCTCTACGGTAACATCTACATTCTCTATTCCTCCATCGCAGTCCTCTGGACAACCCGCTACCACGAGAAACTAGACATAGCATCACTCCACTACCTTGCGCTGGGCCTAGGAACAGCCTTCGCAGCAGAAGTAGCAACCCACATCAACGACCGCATATTCCGCATTCTAACTAAACGGAATGGAGGAAAAGGTCTGCCTGAGTTCCGCATACCCATCATGATACCTGCTACTGTTGTCCTGTCTATCGGGCTGTTCTGGTACGGATGGAGTGCGGAAGCCCGTATGTTCTGGCTGATGCCGGACATTGGAATTGCACTTTTTGCGGCTGCGGCGTACATATGCACGGTCTCGAATAATATCTACGTGGTGGATACTTATGGGCGATACTCCGCTAGTGCGCTTGCTGCGACGTCAATGCTCCGGTGTCTGGCGGGATTTGTGTTTCCGTTGTTTTCTCCATATGCGTGAGTTTCTCCTCCCTGTAAGTAAAGTGGCATTGCTAACAAGATCATAGATATGAACGGATAGGGTATGGTTGGACCTCAAGCATACTGGGTATCATTGCATTGTGCATTGGCCTGACGGGTGTTATATTCATTTGGAAGTTTGGGCATGTATTAAGGAAGAAGAGCCCTTATTGTGCTAGTCGTGATGTTGATGATTGTTGACAGTGGATGAAGCCGGTTGTATTGATTCTATTCAGCAGGTTGGAGTCAATGGGACAGCCTTCTAAAGTAGTTTAACAGTGGTCTATCTGTAAAGCATTCTATTCAGACATTAACGAAATGGAGATCTGGCTTGCAGCTCCCAACCCCAGCATATGCGAACACATTCATTCTTCTGCAGCGGACACTCCAGTCTCCAGCGCATCAGTTTCCTGGGTCCAGCCCAAGGATCACTCTGGCGGTGCCCATCCCGCAAAACATACCACAAAGTCTCAATGAGGGCTCTAACAAATAAGAACAACCAACGTCTCCAACTACCCAATCCGCTGCTTGCGTCTCACCCAAACCTCCTTCTCATCCGCCTCACCCTCCTTCGGATCAGGCAGATCCCGCAACTGCACCTCCCAAACCTTGAGCTTGTAATTACCCCGATCCGCCTGCCCAGAGAAAAGATCAAAAGACCAATCATGCTTAGGGCACGTTATCCCCGCACTCAGGGTGATCCCAAAATCCTCAATGTCAAACAGGCTTCCCTGCGACAGTGGAAATGAGGAATGGGGACATTGCTACACTCAATCAGCATTCTATACCAATTACCATGCCAATGATGGCTAATTAGCTAAGTCATTTGACTTACATGATCAATAGCATGAACCTTGCCCTTATACTTAAACACAAGGACTTGATCTTTCAGATCCTCAAGCGGACCATCAATCTCCGCTTCAACCGGGGCGGAACTTGCACCCGGTATGGGTGTCTTCGGGATCGTGAAAGCTTTGCATTGCGATGTTACCCGACAACCGCCATTGTTTTCCGGAGAGTCCACGTCCGGAAAGTCCGAGGTTAGACCGATGCGCTGCCAACCGCCTTTTCCTCCGCCTGTTTGGGATCGGGAGAAAAAGTTGAACATGATTAGGTGGCAGGTTAGGAGGTTTAGTGTAGAATATACTGCATGGAAGGAAGGGGAAATTTGATGTGCATGGATTGGATCGGATCGGATATCGGAACGCAGCTCACCTGGCGGCCCATGCTAATTTCTCGCCCGCTGACCCGTGCTAACCGCTTTTGGTGATTATATAACCTATAATCAATATAGAACTCATCTGACCAGGTCAAGATCAGCTTTCATTTATATATTATTATTATCTATACTATAACTGTATTCTCGACCTTTCCTTCTCCTTTTATATATTATAATGGCGATAAAATAATCTATCTGTTGTACTGTATCTGCACTATTATGCCAATATCTAAATAGTGAACATAGTCCCGTTGATGTAAGACAAAGGTATTGTTTCTTCCTGGGTAAGAATAAAAAGCCGATATCATATTAAACAATGTAATAATCCATTACTCTGATTATTTTTCAGAAGTTACCTTTTCTGCGCAGCTCGATCTGCTGGCCAATAACATCCCTCGTCATCTGCTCCAACGACCGCCACTGCATCCCCAATTCTGTCTCCGCCTTGGTCGTATCAACAGGCCAAGACTCTCCAGAGATATCGTTTGAGATCTTGAAGCCCAGGTGCGGGTACTCCTTCTTCACAGTCTCTGCAACGTCCTTCCAAAAAGTCTTCTTCCCAGCGAGCAAGTACGAGGACCTATCTGGGATATTGTCGGCCAAGGCCTTGACATGGGCCTCGGCAACATCGTCGATATGAACAGCAGTAATGTTGATCAGGGGTTTTCCATCGGCAACGGTGAGGAAGAAAAGGCCATTAGTGCCACTCAGGTCTTCTGCAGTGGTCTGGAGGGCGTTGCGTCCATACACAAAAGCAGGGTGGAGAGTCACAAGGGAAAAACTAGGGTTCTCGGTCTTCTTGAAGTCCCAACTTGCTTGATTTGCGAGAAGCTTAGATGCATGGTAGAGCTGCATGCTCGTTGCTTCATCGTTGGCACCAGTCAAGTCAGCGGTCTGATCAACTGACAGGTCCCAGTCATTGTTCTCTGTCGAATGCGGTCAATATCTAGCCACGATACTCAAGTCAAAGAATTGCATTTAGCTCTGAGGTGCTCACCCTTAATGACCCCTCCCTCTGGACGACCCGACATAGGTATCAAAGCGGCAATTGAGGAAGTAATCACCACCTTCTTAATGCTGCTAACCTTGGCAGCCTCCTTCAGGATAGCCGTGGTGCCCATGACGGCTGGGCCAAAGTATGTCTCTGGGTTGGTTCCATGGGGCATGGGCGAAGCGACATGCAGCACATATTTAGCTCCATCTAGCTTTCCGGCAAAGGAAGATGGCTGGGTTATGTCTGGGGTGATGACAAATTCGATTCTGTCTTCGTACTCAGAGAGTACCGCCTTTAGTTTAGGAATCTGTTCTTCCTTGCGAACGCTAATGCGCAGACTATAGCCAGCTTGTAGAGTCTTGATGGCAACGGCACTGCCAATGAAGCCAGTTGCTCCAGTGATGAAGACGAGATCGCCGGGCATAGTGATGTGATCAGATGCAGGGATTTGGGAATAGTCTCAAGAGGGATAATATACCGTCGCCTAGCTCTGAAGGAATATATGGCCGAAACAGATGTAAGATATGTGGAATAATCGAGCCAGCTTGTTGGTTGCGTCTCCGTTTCAGACCTTGTCTTCTCACAATTCGAAAACCCTTTATACCTTTTAAAACATCTTTCGGTATGGCTTACATATTCAGAAGAGGATGATTATCAACCAACGGCTGATTTGAAATGTAGAAGGCAGTACACTATATCCCGAGGTACATATTCGGGGCAAATAACTAATCATGAAATCATGAAACGATTAACGTTCATTACGGGTGTGCCCGCCCCTTCAAGTTAATTTTTGATGTAAACTACTAGTATTGACTATCTGGACAACAATTCCGTTTCAAGTGTGTCAATATCCTCAGAGTTTGGCAAAGCATGAGGAGTATTTAACTTACGATATAAGCTTCAAAATATGGTCAGGCTTTTAAGTATTCGTGGAGTAGTGGAGTTTTTACAGTGGACTTCGAAAACAGGTTGAATTAAAGCTCTGCCACTATGCATATCAGCCTCGTGATTTAAATGAGTCATTAGTCAAACGGTTAGTATAAAAGAATCCGTCCGTAATTCTTTTGTAGATTTAGACGGTCATACCGTATGCCAATATCTGCTGGAAAGCGAAAAGTGGGGTTGAGGAAGCAATTAGGGGACATTAGATGCGGGTAGTTCGGGAATATCACTAATCACTGTGTGCAGATAATTCCTGGCGGTTCCATATATTTCTTATCAATACCTTAGTCGCTGAGGTTTGAGCCTATGCCATAAGGTTTGTCAAAGAACATTTTGCGAATAAGTTCGAACGGTTATTAATACTGCTGTGACTTTGACTGACTCGGCGGGGGGCAAAGAATGCAACCGGAATATCTCGTCATCACCCCGACGGTTGGTTTATGCGATCACAAGTGTCAACTTTTGGCAAGATTGATGAAGGTTTGCGTGAACATATGATTTGTAATAGAGAAGCCTATCGTTGTATACACAGTATGCGTCGATACTCCGTCGACCCTACGCCATGGTGGATGATCAATTGTGCCCTTCTTCTACTTGTTCGCCCGCTGATCGGTCGATTTGTGATATTACCTACGCTTAGCTGTTCATGCATAAAGCATCAGTTATCGTAATAACCCTATTCAGAGGTGATGGGGCAGCAGAACCTAGTAGTGCATGACAAGATCGATTGATTCAACTCATACCCTTTATGTCAACCCATCATAACGATTCTGACTTGGTCCCCGGTTCCACCACTAATGTGGAACAACTGGGAATACTTTGGTGATTACTATTCATGCGAACAGTCGGCGGGATGAAATAATCAAGCCGAACAACCATGAATCAAAGATTAGAGTGTCTCCGCCACTCTCACGACGAGATCGTTCCAACTTTGGGAAAGGTTTAGATCAAGACGATTAATCATCATGCACTATGTAATCGTCACAGAGAAAGGTCATTAAAGAAATCGAATAAATTAGGCACAGCTGCACATTCTGAGGATGGTCAAGCAATCATCATTACATCTGGCCATTGGTCCACACAATTGGAGAATAATCAATTTTCACGAATAAAAAGATGAGAGAAATTCTGGTTATCGGTGGAACTGGCGCTCAAGGCCTGCCGGTCATCAAAGGTACGTGTCATAGCAGCTTTTCACCTGGCCTTTAAGTGTATACCTGACTTGTGATAGCCCTCTCCTCTAGTGGAAATTTCTTTGTCCGAGTGCTTACTCGAGACGCAAAGTCCGCTCGGGCGCAAGAAGTTGCACAACTTCCTAATGTGTCCCTGATTGAAGGCAGACAGGATAACCAGGAAGATCTGCATAGGGCTTTCAAGGGTGTTTACGGGGCATGGGTCAATACCGATGGCTTTACCATCGGTGAGAAGAATGAGCTATTTTACGGCTGTCGAGCTTATGAAATAGCGAGGCACCACAGAGTGCAACACTATGTCTATGCTTGTACAGACTTCGCTCTCAAGCATGCGGACTGGGATGAGAATTACCATTGGGGCCATAATGATGCGAAAGGCAGAGTTGCAGATTTTATTCTTGCTCAAGGTCAGGCTGGTATGAAAAGCTCTGTGCTTACAACTGGCCCGTATATGAACATGCTCTGGGATGGCATGTTTGTCCCTACCCAAGAACCTGATGGGACATTTGTTTGGGCTAATCCCGCAAGTATATCTCACTACCTTACCTGATATGAGCTCTACTAGTGACTAACTATGACGGTACTTCCGGCACAGAATCTGGCAAAATACCTCTTATAGCTCTGGAGGATGTTGGACATTATTCTCTTTGGCTCTTTAACAACTTACCAGAATCCGCGGGGCTGAATCTTAAAATTGCAACAGATGAAGTTAGTTTCGCAGATATAGCGGCAGCCTTTACTCAGGTGACAGGGAAGAAAGGGGTGCACCGGTATGTACCTCTTGAAGAGTACCTACCCATGGCAGAGCCTTTTCCAAATGCTCCAGCCAATTTTTACGCCGGTCCAAGTGCTGTGACGGATGAATCAACGATGACATGGCGCCAGAACTTCTCAGCTTGGTGGAAGTACTGGGGAGAGGGCCGGGCTGAACACCGAGACTTCACGCTTCTGAATCGAATCTACCCTAATCGTATCAGTTCACTGAATGATTGGATGAGAATTGTTCACTACGACGGGCAACGAAAGAATGTGCTCAAGGGAGTTGAGGACCTGAAAAGAGCGGCCGCAGTGATGCAGCAACAGCAAGCAACTTCTCCGGTTTGACCTAGGGAGCTAGTAGAATCCTACCTAAGCGTTCATTCTCACTCATCCGTGTGGGATTCGCTCGAGGTTTACACAATGCAGAACTTGGCTTTAATGTGAGCGGGTGCGGAGGCGTATCTAACGACTCGGGTATCTCAATTTTAAACATAGACGTTGCTCTTTCTTGGCTTATTTAGTGTGTAATCTTTAGGTTGTCACACCTAGTGACCGACGTACACGATTGGATATCATGGAGAAAACGGCCGATGTTGTTTCCGTTTTGGTTTGTGTGGGGCAGGTATTTTTCATTGGGGTTGGTTGGGCTGTCGGATATACGAGGTGGTACAATGATTTTTAGCACTGTTGAATTGCATTAAATTAATTACATGAGGCTATTCCATTGTATTGGACCATAGTGTTCTTTTAATTCGGGTAATAAGTAGGCTAGTATGGCATCGGAGCATGTAATAGAATGGAAATCACAGCTAGGATTTATATTCCAAGCAAAACGACAATGTAAACATCCCTTTCACGACAGTCTCCTACGTGGAGGTTCCCATGGCATCCCAATAATCCCTATGCACATAGACATAAGAATAACTAGTATCAACCCGATTGAAAAGAAGAACGAATTGAAGTCAAATTGGAGCTCGGAAAACGCAACGCCACCTGGCCCAGAGATACCGGCCCAATCGCCCACATGACCATAGCTGATTGCATCTATAATTACACCAATGTGTGCATAGCATTTAGTAAGTTGAGCCATCACTATATCGGCCCAATAAGTCCATTTTGGTAGCCAATTTAGACTTGTAATTTGTCATCCGTAGTATGTGAAAAGAGGAATGCTTTCAAAGCAAACAATCACTAACACACTCTGTGTCCAAGAATAGGCCGGGGACTTGGACGAGCTATGTTAGTAGATCCACCCTATAGTTTCCAACTAACTGTTGCCAAATTCTTTTTTTCGAATTCCTTCTAGGAGCACCGATATGTCCCACAGTGTATTTCACGGTTACTATGTCGGGCGTCAGAAGGAGTACCAGTAGTATTAAGCTTATATAAGTATATAAACGGCCTGTGCCTGAACTCAAAAAGACCATCTGATAATGTACCACGTCAGGTGTTGGTGATTAACTGTGGAGAGAGTCCGTCTTTCTCTTCTTGGATCTCAGGTACGGGCTCTGCCAATCGGAAATTGGGCGATGTGGCGGTGAACGTGGATGTGGACGTGTCCTAGCTCTTTGGTTGCGGATACCATGGACATGATGCAGTCATTGAGACGAAATTTTGTAACTCTAATGGTGATACCAAGTCACCAAGTGTGATACGCTGCTTGGCAGGATATGCTCTAGTCAGGTAGTGTGTAACTATTCAAACGAAACGAATCGATAATCTGATTGCATTCAACGAAAACGATTGCACTAAACTGATTCAACTAACTAAGGATCGTGGAGGAGGGGACCAGCGGGAACCCCTATTCCTCTTGCCACCGCCACCCTCGAAACGGCAGGTGCCTCTCGCTTCCCTTACCGGGAAAGCGCCCGACAGTAGTCATGGTTTGCGTTGGCATCTTCATCTTGCTAAATAGAAAGTAGCCTAGATATGTGTTTGCAGGATTGCGTTAGATGCCATATGCTCAGAATACAGCGGTAGGCTGTTTGGCTAGTATCATTTTCTACTTTCCATAGAGATAATGGTGCCTGGCTGGAGGGAAGAAAGTGCACCTGAATGAACCAAGACTTGTAGTTTTTCCAACTCCGGGATGTACTTTACTGAAGTGTTTCAACCATGTCGTGGATGAACCGAGATTATCCTTCTCTTATCTCTGAAACTTTTGATGGCTACCATGTTCCTCTCCAGAGTATGTAAATGTTTGTCAATTCTTTCCACTCTTCCCTATGTCTCCTTTAATGTCGACATCATAAGGATCGTATCTTTTCATTGTCATCAGGCTAAGCGGTGTCGTTCCATCCCTGGCATTTATGTAGCTTGCATGGTATCCATTCATCATTGAGAAAGCCCTTATTCTTTATTCAAATCGCCATCATTTGCTTGATCTTCTATGGCCCAGGTGCTTTCGAGTGATCATTCCGTGTTGCTTTGTTATTAGGAGCCCAGGTTAGCAGAATAGGACCTTTTAGGCACAGCACGCCATTATTCCTTATGAAGACACCACAGACTATATCACCGCCTTGTATTCCATGAAATTGCTTGTCAGGGAAGCACTATACCATGAACATCCCGGCGTATCTGGCAAACTTGTAAGGATGGTTGTGTTTAGCAGAAGCCTGGAACCTATGAGTTACCATCTGAACCGGAACAACGACAGCGTCCATGCTGAGCACCCGGCGCCGAATAACTAGGGTTGGAATTTACATCGAGAGCTGTCCTTTCGATCATGATCGTGAGCTAAGAACTCGATAAATCAAACCATGTGACTGCAAATATAATAATGTTCAGCCCAACCCAAACCCACCCCCAGCGCTAGGTGCGCTTTTCCGCAGCAGAAACTTTTCTTCTGACCGTGCAACTCTTCCTCCTGCACGGCCTCGTCGGTTTCCCATGACTGTCCGCTGCTCCTTAAAGTCTTCTGCCGAGGCCACCGGCTGATCAGAACAGGACCTGGCAACGGGGGCGGCAGGTTCCCGCCTACTGATAGAATGATGATGTGCTTTGACTGGGGCAATACTTGTCGTCACCGACTAAATCATACTGCTATAAAGCATTGAATAGCCTCAAACGTCGCCCACCACGGTATTTCGTGTATAGCAGATGTCATGTAGATCAAACCAGCGGACGATGCCACGTCTGGCGTTTCTTTGAGCATAGCCATTGAGATGACCAGGTGTCTCACTCACCGCGCACCGTTGCCAGGCATCTTCGTCCTCGGCAGTCTTAACGGCGTTTCTCAGCATTAACAATTTAAAAAAAGACGATACTCGAGGTCTACTTGACCTTCCAAGACACGGTGTCCTTAAGGTTTGTTCAGGACAGATTGGCACTCTCCAGAACATGATTTTTGAGCTTGAATACGGAGCTCCTGAACATATGCTTTAGAATGTTATCTGAGATTCTCATCTTTTCCATGGTGGAGACATGCGGGACGAATTCGGCCACAGTCATCGCCTAATCATTGTCATCGTTGGGTTTCCATGTTCGGCTGGAATGAGTAAGCCCGAAAATTAGAGTAGACAATAAACATCAGTGCACCTATAACTGTTGGATTGTTCGAGTTGCAAGATCCATGGATATGCCGCTTACTCACTGAAAAGTGGCTTTCTCAACCCATCTGTAACTCCATAAGTTTTTTAGTCCTGCATGATGTAATTCCTAGTAGTTGTTGTAGCCATATGATCTGGATTTCGTTTTATTCATACCTCCACCTAAGCGGCTACCTCCAGATGTCTGTGGTGATCCGTTTGCCGGAGTCTGGGCACTCGTGTGCAAACGTTGTTTCAGATAGATACAACCTCCTTCCCCTGTGAAATCATGGATGATCAAGTGGAGCTTCAGACGGGCTATCCGGTGTCATATTCTAATGTATGAGGGCATGGAATACGGTGGGTCTCCGGAAGATAGGGTTGTTTCAATGATATAGAGGAGATTGATATTTCTTCGGGCTCTATTTCATATGGGCTGGAGTGGTTAGTTGAGTTATTGTTTGTATCTAAAGGATAAATTAGGCTTTGAAAATATGATAGTATTTGCTAGGACAACCGCGAACTCCGAAGTCAACAATTTGTGAGAATGCTTGATTTTGTATCTGTTACGAATAAGGCCTGTTCAAGTTATTGGTTGGCAGGAAGGTTGTCAGAATGAGGAAGAGAAAGAAGAGGAGAAGGTAAGGAAAAGAGGTTTATATATCTATAGGGTAAGTGAATAGATGATTCTTCTGGGAATAATAACAGCAGAATGCACTGGGAGCTATATATCTGCTTCATGTGTACCAAAACTTATTGAATTAGCTCAGTAGCCATTCAATATCGCAGTCAAAGAGAATAACTCAAGGAAAGAAATATAATTGATCTAGTCAATCATGGACCGTATTCACATCAGGCCATCCGAAGCACATAAAGTAAATAGTAGAAGATCGATCATCAGATCTAGCCACGGCCAAACAAGGTAGCAGACAAGAATGCAAGGCTAAGCGACAGAAACGGTTGCATTATTCGTTCAGCACAGCAGGACGAACACGAACCAGTATTAATACATTATAGTAGAAAAGAATAGGGTGTGTCTATCCCGATATCAACACCCAGAGTAGGAAGAAGATCTGCACAAGTTAGCTGCCATTCGACCAGCAGGTTGCAGGATGAGCTTACCATTAGGACGCCAAACATCTTGGCGATGAGCCACCGGTTCCCGGATACCCGCGTCCAGTACTTCAGTAACTCGCGATGCGCTCCCTGCACGTTATCGACCACGTCTTCCGTGTTGGCGTCTATCCGCTGGATCATGTCGGACTGCTCGCTGACCATCTGCGCAAGCTGACCGAAGATACCACCCAACTCGCTGATGGTGCGTTCAATCGCATCAATTGCCTCACCACGCCCTTGGATATAGGCGTTGCTCGTTTGGGCTTCCTCCATAACCAATAGTTGCTGATCTGAGTGCATAGAGGGGCGGCCGAGCGGAGATGGGTTCGAAGGTTCCAAAGTCAGTAGATCGGAAGCACCGCCCGGCTGAGGCGTCCGCCGTCCGGATGTATTGTAGAGCGGGGAATCGGAGCGCTGCGTATCGAGGGCGGAATGTGTCTTCGAGGATACCGAGGAGACAAAGTTTTCGGTTCTTGATCGTGAGGCCTGAATATTCTTTGTTCGCACTTCAAGCACATCTTTGAAGTTTGCTCCTACATCCGCCAACTTTCCTTGTAGCATGACAACCACCTAACCTCGTTAGCTTCATATCGGTCTCATTATGTGTCGCACGTACATTGTCATTGTGCTCTCCTTCCTGGTCTGCCTTCGACCGATTGCTCTTGGGGTGTTGTGAAAGAGTAAGCGCTTGCAACGAGGCGATTTGCTGATTCAACGACGCGAGATCTTGTTTGATCACAAACGTCAACTCCGAGATCTCAACCGGTCTGTCGTCAAAGAGCGTCTTTCGCTTGGCCACTGCGGACAATGTTAACTTCATTCATCTAACCGTCTGAAGCCCACTCACACTCGGCTAGTCTCTGCAGCTTAGCTGTTGTTGCCGTAATTCCTCGTCCAATTTCCACAGCTCTCCGGGCAAACTCAGACCTTCGTTTGCCACCCTGCCCATCTGCGGAACCGTTTGCTTGTTTCCGCTGCGCATCTGTCAGAAGAGCCTGGCGCTGTGCGCTAGCTTTATTGGCGGCCATGCGCTTCTGGGCTTGACCCAGAATGGCGTGGAACTCGCCCGTACGATCTTGAATGGACGGGCCGGTCATTGTGTAGGTGGATGTAGGATGAACGGGGATTAGATGAAAGAAAGATGATTCGGTAGTCGGTCGCAATGCAAGCGAAGATGTACAGGGGTATAGCCGAATGCAGAACGAATGCGCGACGTGAGATTCCACGGAATCGATCTAATCGATAAGGAGACAACTGGAGACGTGTCCGTTGAGTGGTGGCGATATAGCTAAGGTAGAACGAGAGCGGAGAAGCATAGATTGGAGGTAAAGTTGGAGTATTACAAAAGGGCCATATCAATCAACCGAGACCAGCATCGACCACCGTAGAGGCACGGGGAGAGAAGATGGAGAGAGAGTGGAGGAGGAGCGAGAAGCCGACGTCGCCAGCCCGTCTTCCGTCCGTAATAGGAAAGGCGGAGGCTCAGCCACGTGCACCCCAGCCACTCCAGTTTTCTCACTAGCCACAGGGGCAGCACCAGCCACCGGGTGCCCCAGGCGTCAGGCTGCCCATGGACCAAAGCGGCTTAACTGAAAGCAGTAGAGCTTCTCATTATTAGATCCGATGGAGTCTCAGGGGAACATCGCAATCAGCCTATCTTATCCCGCTGGCGATTAACTTCAATCAATTCCCTTCCGTACCCCCATCCCCAGACTCGTGTGCCTCCGTACCCATTCTGATCGCGATCGGATATCGCCCATCCCTTCCTTCGCTACTAAGAATAACCCCATTCCACGTAACGCCGCTGCTGCGCTGCCCCGTGGCTTGGGCTGTCATCGCCATCCTTGCTCCCACGTCATCTGGTGCAACCATCCTCTCTCGTTCTCCCGTGTCTTCCGGTCAACCTCGCAGCACCTTCGCATCGACGGTCGCTTCTCCCATACGCCTCTCAGCCCAGGTCTTTGGCATGTGATATGCCGATCGGGCACTTACACCGACTATTCTATTAATGTTCATGATCGGGTTGACACGCTCAGACTAGTCAGCAATGGCACGCCAGTTCCAGCCTTACGAGCCGGAGCTTCACAAACTGTAGGCCATGCGTATATCTTGCTTGCAGGTCCCCGCACATAACTAACGCTGCCCTGGATCTAGCTCCTCAACCACCTCCGATAGCCCGAGCTCTCCTTATCCACGCGGCGGCACCCCGCTATCCTTTAAGCCGAATGTGAACCGGGCCAAAACGAAACGTTGGGTTGAGGCCAAAAAGTACTCATACGATGGGAATGATTGGGGGGACGATGAGTACGGCGAGTATGACGATGAGGATGAGACTCCGCCTGTCCCGCAGCCTCCCAGCATGAACCAAAGCACCGGAGATATCCCTAGCATGTTCACGAGAGACGTGTCTCGTCCACCCCTACCTTCAGTAGATCGGTCCAGATCCATGGATCAGGTGGCAACACTGGACGCAGCTGGTGCTGGAGCGCATCGTAGCCTCTCTGCAGACCGCATGGCGGCCGCTCCTAACAACAACCGGACTGTCCCAATTGTACGGCCGGCCGAGATCTACAAGCGGATGAGGGCAGAGAGTGCTGCAAGACAACAGGCATCTGAGGCCGGATATTTTGTTGACAACCCGTCGGGTGCGGCGCCACCTGGAGCGCCAGTGTCTCAGGATACTGCGTCGACCTCTCACGAACAACAGGGAGCGGCATCTCCCGGCGATCACATACTCCACCCGGCCCAGGACAGTACTGAGAGGCCGTCAGATGCTGGAAGCACGCCCCACGGCTCCCACTCTGCTGACGCATCTACAAATGAGCCTCCCATCATCCAGCTGCCAGATATGAAACGTCTTTCTGGATTTAATCCTGACCTCTCACTCGGACCCCATTCCCACGCCCAGCTAGATCAGGAGTCGGAGGGTCAGGAACATAAACTACAGCACAATCCTTCCTTGGGATTCCGGTCGGTTGTTCACCAGGCGTTCGATGTGCCTGAGACCCCGAGCACCACGGTGGACAGTATTGCTCGGTCTAACAGCGATAGCACCTCGGTGATTAGCCCAATTATACCCCAGCACAACCCGAGCGAGACCAAGACTCCTACGATTGTAGAAGAACCCGAAACCATCTCGACACCCAAAGAAGAACCGGGAAACATGGTGTTCAAGCCTGGCCACCGTCGAGATTTGAGCCTTCCTAGCCCGAACAATAGCCCGTCTAGAACACCGGTTATCGCTAGCGTCGAAGGAACTGCGCCGTCTGCGGTAGGGGAAATGTCGTCGAACACGCCAGACTCACCCCAAAACATCATCGCAAGCCCGCAGAAAGCAACAGTGCAACTACCACAGCATGACGAGGGTCTGCCCGCACCGCTTAGCGTTGGTGGCAGCCATCCTCCCCCTGAGCCTACGATTACCACCGGGGATGGTGTCCCGGTCATCATTCCATCCTTCAGTACAGACAACTCGCCCCAGGACACAGAGAGCGACCGGCTGCGGAAGGAAATCATTCGTTCTTTGAGCCGGGAAAATACCCCGTCGGAAGATCCAGACCATGAAGAGGAGCGCCGGCTGGACGCACCGCAGCAGGACAGCAGTCACATGCTGGATGAATACGAGCGTTATTGGACGAAGGAGGCCTTGCCCACTTCTCGCGAGGGTGACCAACCTCCTGACTACGACAGTCCCTCAGCTGCCCTGCAGGATACGCCCGCACAGCCAACTCCTCTCATTGCTACCCCAACAACTTCCGCTCCAGCCCCGAAGCCGAAGCTGACCAGACGATTTTCATGGGAATCTTCGTCATCTGGGGAGCCTGCTCCCGAGACGGGTGTACAATCCCCGCCCGTGTCCATGCCTGGGCAATTCCCACCCACCGAGGACCGCGCCCAGCTGACAGAGATAGCCCCCAATCCTGAGCCCGTCGTTGAGGAACGTGAAGCCAAGGAGCCGCCGTCTACGGAGAAGCCGAAGCTAACTATCGTGCCTCCCGTACCGGACGATCGAAGCATCATCTCCGATGGGCAATATCTTCCTGAAGTCTACAATGCAGAAGTCATTCCCGACTCTCATGCAGACGAGGGTCCCCAGACAGGCTCCGACCGGCGGTCGTCGCGAGTCATGTTTACGACCCCAGCGACCGTCGAGCCGACACTGCTTGGTTTCCGGGAAATCTTGGCGATGAAGACGTCGGAGGAACGCGTTCGGGCTTTCAACGACACCCGAGCGAAGTTTGGGACCATTGATACGGGTCTTAACCAATGGATTTCTGTCACAGTGCAGACACACCCCGAACACAATGATGTGGTTGAGAAGAGCACGAAAGTGACAAACACCGGTGCCAAGGCGCCCGTCTCTCGAGGCAAGTTCCCGAAATTGGCGGCCCTTGGTAAGGCTGATCTATCTCCATCCGGCTCGGGGCACGCGCGACGGCCCTCAGCGCCATTGGGGGCAATGATGAACAAACAGCAAGTAGAGCAACGCGGCAAAGAGTTGCTGCATACGGCAGGAGTTTTGGGAGGGCGCGCAGGCGAGGCCGCCAAGGGGTTCTTTGCTCGCAGTCGGAGTAAGTTGAAGGGCGGAGGGAACGACAAGGTAGATTCTTAATCTCTTTACTGATAATGATGGGCGGTCTGGCCAGGGAGCGGCACGCTCGGCCTGTTCTTTTTTTGTTTCTTGCCTGTGTGATTATGTTGCTTGATACCACGCTGTAATTGGTCAGATCTCAGTGCCTCAGAATGTGACATGAATGATGTCTTCACTCCTCCTTTTCGGGTTTATTTTGCTGCGTCTTATCGCCTCTAATGCGGGGATATGTAGGGATTTCAGTCCTCGCGCGGCTATCGTCGACCGGTGCCCCTGTCGGAGCTCCAGCAAGCAGCCGACCTGGATCCTGCAGGAACAAGGCCCAGCCACCAGCGCCATAGCGTCCACTTTGGAAGTCTCCCGGTCGCCGGCGCTTCTCGACCGGCCGGACATCATCGGCTGAGCTGGGGGGTGAAGCGGAAGGAAGTACCCGGTTCTGATAGCAACGCAGTAGCCATTGGCGAGGATCGCCGTAGGGCATCCATTCACTTGGGAGCTGTAGCCCGGGAGTCTTTCCCGTCTCGCAAACCGGCACCCGCCAGTGATCCTCGAAAGAGCATCGCTAACGATGCGCACGAACAGCAACAGGAGAGACTCGATGACAGCGGGACTAGCCGGATCCAACTAGCCCTCAATGACGCGCCACTGGCGACCCCTGGTCAGCCCGGTCAGGCCGGACAAAGCGTCTCGGACCAATTGGATGGCGTCAGCGACAGCGACCAAGCCGGTGTTGGAGGCGATGCTGCGCTGCCCCCTGCAGCCTTTGTTCAACCTCGGCGGGGGTCAGTCCAACCATCAATCTCGTCATTGGGCACTCAGGATGCGGTTGCTGATCCTCCCTTCGCCCTGGCGCTTAACGGTGAGTGCCTCGCTCACCCGGGAAGTGAATCGGCTGAACTTACGGCTGTCGCCCTCGCAGCGCCTCTTGCCTCGTCCAGTCTCTCTCTGCCCTCCATCGTCGGCCACCACCCCGACACGGAGATGGATGCGACCGGCAATGATCGGTCTTTGCTGCGTCCGCTCAACGGTCGTCATCCACCTTCGGGTCACTTGCGAGTAAGCAGCATGTCGTCGCTGAGACCGAGCCGACCGTCGAGTCGGAATGCGACCTCAGGAGCGAATTTCCGATCGCAGGATTCCACCCCGCACGCGCGCCTGGCCGCACTGAAGATGAAGTACGGCGACAAAATCCGGGACATTCGTCGCATCTCCCTGGGTCCCAGCAGCCCATCGTCGGACCAGAAGCTGCCGCTTCTGGATCGGTTGACAGTATGTCGCTGTCTTTATTGAGTGGATGAAAGTTTTGAAGGTTAACTGATCGTGATCCAGGGCCTCTTCCGCACCAACCTTCGTCCCCACCGACCCAAATCAAGGCAATCCAACCAAGCTTCCAGACCTGAAACCCCCATCCAGCGCTCCACGACGGCCTCCCCATCGCGTCCAATAAACCACACATCCAGCCATACCCGCTTCTATTCCCTCGATCACGCCCTCCCCAATGCCAGCGACAGTCTTTCCCATCTGCCGCCGAGTCTTCCCCGCATCCCCACCCCAGATTCCTTCCGCCAGGCCCAGAACCAAGCTATCTTCGTCCCGCACGCTTCCACCCCTACTCTTCCTAATACTTCATCAATCTCAGATGACTACCTCTATAGCAACAAAACTGTATATGAACCAAGTCACACTACCACTAATGGTTCTCCAGAGCGCGGTCGAACCACCTCCCGCACGTACGTGCAGGAACTGCACCTCCGATCTCGCAGTCCCAAGGAAAGCGCGCCCCGACCGGAGGAGACGACTCTACCAAATACTGATGCGACTGACCCGGCGATTGAGCTGGGGCGGTTCGCACGCAACCCGCGGACCAGTCGAGTGGGCGATCAAGAGTTGCCGTGGAAGTTGAGTCTGCCCGGACTGGGTGGTGATCCTGACGAGCATGATGAGAATGAGGTGACGGTCGAAGAGAGAGACAGAGCACGGAGGGAGGCCAGCAATGTACTCGGATCTGCCATCGCTGCCACTACCATCGATCAACCTCACACGCGGAACCCAGAGCCAACACGAGAGACCTCATTCGGAGTTTCACCCTCTCCCCTATCCACAATTCCAGAATCAGTCGCATCTCCTTCAATCGTGTCCCCATCCGAGCTTCCACCTCACGACAACTCGTCTACGACAGCGCAAGTCTCATTCTCCGACGCTCAGTCACGCGTCTCTCCGTCCCCGTCCCCTACACTAAACCCGGATACAGAGGTAAAGACCGCAAGCTTATGCCGAGAACACCAATGCATCAATACTCCTCCAACAGCAGACTCCAATCCCACCCTCACCACAAAAGAAACAGAATCCGGAACCAGCACAATATCCATTGGCCCCACACCCAGAACACAGACAAACTCAAATCTAAACAGCCATCCCCACCGCCCCGCCCCACCCCGAGCCCTTGTCTCCACTCCCGTTGAACTCCCTGTCCCCTCGGCAGACGGGGGAGATGATCACGATAATGCCAGTGATGCTTCCAGCGAACCAGAAATTGTCATGTCAAGTACGGCATATCCGGGACAGGAATGGAGGCCGGTCGGATACATGGGATATGAATCGGGGATATAATTTGCGCTGTAGTAACTGATCTTATGTATTCATTGCTGTGCTTTGTGTTTCATCATTATGCTTTTGGTTTGATTTGTATAAGTGCAAATACAGCTGCGAGGGGATCATGCTATTAGTGGTGAGTGATTGTGATATTGATGGAGATACCCACGCTATGCTATGCTTGCTTTTCTTCAGATATTTAATATTGCTTGTAATGAATAGTATAGTATTCTCCTTTGGTTCTCGAATATTCAGTCGATACTAAGTAGCTGGCTCTTGTGGTTACGAATAGATATAGTGTTAATCAGTTTACCAAGGGGTTCAAAGTATGGATTAGACACGTCGTCGTCTTCTTTTTTCTTAACTTTCAGCTAGCATACCTAGTACTAATTATACATAGATATATATTGACCCCGACTCAAAGGTTGCGCTACCAGCTAGCACACAATGCTCTGGTGTGAAGCTCACAGGTATTTTGGTGCATCGCCAAGTTCATACTGCAGACAAGCTTAAGTACTCGGGTACTTCAGTGAGGTCAACCTTTAGCTAGGACCCGACCTAGGTCAGAAACACGTATGTGCCTTCCGGCCATCGGAAAAGATGCTGGAGACGATTGGTAGAGGTTCCGACCATGCCCTTGGTTCGGAACACTTATAGGAGCTCGAAAGGCTTCACAACATCGGATAATTAACGAATATGTAGTAAGTATGAAGTAGCTAGTAATGTGAGATTTTCCTACGGGTCATCTTCCTTCCCTCAATAGCCAAACACCTGTGGGAGTTGCTAGGCTATAATCTAGCGGGCTCGGGCAGGTCAAAAATTCATGAATTGTTGTACTGAAACTCCAGGATAGACTAGTTCGACGCCAAACAATTACGATTTGTTTGAACCAACAGCGGACATTGCAGCCAAAACATTCAGTCATGCACGCTTTTTCGCTATGAAAACGATCGGTAATAATGAAGAGGATAGAACAGCAAATCGCCATGCAATGCCAACGTCTTATATCAGAGTAAACTTCTCTTCCACCAAGGACCCCTCATGCATCATCTCGATTGCCTCGCCGTCCATAATCCCATGTACATAACTCTCCCCAATGAAGGTATAGTTATCCCCTTGCTTGCGTAGGATAACAGGAACGGAACAACCGAAGAGAACGCATATGAGGTCTCCTTCTTGAGCCTTTGCTGGTACCAGGCCTATGTACCTTTTCGAAGAGATCATCAGTCGACGATATGAGGTTGCCCGCTTGATGGTGGATACGCAAGTTATCGCGAATACGTAGCTTCTTCCCACATCTCCGTTAAGACAATCGCCAGTATCCTCGAATCCAGTGTTCTTATCGCCTCTTCCAACAGCACTCCCAGCTTGAAGATCAGCATATAGTGGGTCAAAGACACCCTTTCTTCTATTACCGGTGAACATTACATCGGTAATCAGTGTCCGAAAGTATGCGTTCGCGAACGAGCCACCGCTGACGTATCCACACTCGTATCCCGATCTCTTTACTTCATGCATCAACCTGGACCATTCTAAGATAAACTCATCGTCCGGGTTAACATACGCGCGCACATCTTGATAAGTCTCCTTCGCATATAAAAGCACATTTCTTGCCCACGGCCTCCTTTCTTTGCCCACATATCTCCAGTTTGAAACTTGTCTGATGATGGACGGGCATCGAAAATACGACAATAGGAGGTTCTCCCATGGATCCGGCCTTTTTGAACACCATTGCTTGCGTTTATCCGGATGATTAGTATCCGCCAGTCGATGAATGGTGTCGACACAAACACCCGCCACTCTTAAAGCCAGTGGGCTCCGAAGTAAGTTGTACTTGGGCGCCAGTGACCGAGATGCATCGTAGTCAGAACTTAAAGGTCCATTGTTCCAACCAGCTATATCTGTTCTGCCTTGATCAGCCAAGGAGCTTATCAAGGGGTATGCAATCTCAGCGTTCTGACTTGAGTGAACATCCCAATCAGGTACCCAAGATGGCCAGTTGGGCTTCTCGCTTCCCTGGCACATACAGATAATATTCAGACTTCCCTCTCCGATAGACTGCTCCACAAGGCCAAGACACACATTCACCAGCTTATTGCTCGCGGAATAATTAGGTCTTAGACAGTACACAGGTGTGTCCGACACTAAGCCCAGAAGGCTGAATATCTTATCCCTGGCATCTGTAGACCGCTGCCGTCTATTCCAAGCAACCAGCTGTGCAAGCGGAATTTGGCGTTTTTGCTTGAGCGCAACTCTCATTTTCTGAATTTTAAGTACTTCCTTTAACGTTCCAGCGGACTCTGGAGCAGACAAGAAGCGCGAGTTCATGCCACCCACAAGGCCACTGGCAAGCCACCACAAGTAGTACCACTCGATTTCCTCATGTCCAAATTTGATTATTGGACGTTTCGATACCACGGCTTCTTGCAGTACCCATGCTCTGGTCCACCAAGGTCGCATCAGCACCTCAGTAGTCAGAAATTCTAAGCTTCGATACCCATGTTTGTTTCCGATTAGTTTGTGAAGAAGCAGAATGCTCTTTGGATGCCACGGTCGATCTTCGCGATTTTTCTGGCGAAATCTTCGAGCAAGCTTGAATGATGACTTGACGCGATCATCGCCCTCACCAAGCCATATAACTGTCGAGACACTTCGCTGGTAGATATCGCGCATAAAGCTCACTTGCGAAGCGCGCTCTTCCAAATCCATTTGGTTGATGCATATGGCGTCAATCCACATCGTACGAGGAGTGTCACGGCGGAGATGACGGAGTGCCGATGCAAGGTTTACCGTGACTTGGAAGGGCTTCTTATCTACAATAATGGTCTTGGTGACAGCTGGGTCTCCCCAGGCATAAGAGAGAGTTTCATATTGTCCTGCACTGGATAACGAGGTTTGTCTCAATGTGCACTGGATAGCCCTTGTCCATTTACCCGGCTCTATGGTGAGAAGACGAATCTGCCTCGGCCTCGAATTCAATTTCTGATAGAAGTCCTCGGATTGCGACATTGGTCAATTGAATGGTCTGCCCGAGTGGGAGTCAGGGCGCGAAAAGTGAGGTTAAGTGGAGGATTGGCGAATCGCGTCCAGTTGTATTTTGTAGACAGCTGGCAGCCTGACACGTCTAACCCCACCTTTTAGTACTGGTAGTGATCGACTAGGTACTTGACGAGTAACATTGTCCTGAAAAAGCAAAGAACAAGAAAAAAGAAAAGTGAAGAATCACAATGATCAAGCGGAATTTCATGTAATCATGGCTTCGTCCACATCCACCGTAGTAGGCCTGTGGGTAAGACTGCTGGTTTTTTATCTCTGATCCTCTTATCACTACTAACTACTAGCATAATCCGCCATTAGCTGCAATTGAAAGATAATTGGTCACCTTTAAGTCTACGACGGCATACTAGCATAGTACTTTGTCGTTTTGTTTCAAATCTCCCCATACTCGGAAACCAATTCCAGTTCTCCCTACTTCTTGTAATACCTTCAATTTATGCCTACGTCGGTACAGAATCAGCTACCAGCCAATATAGCTCGCAAATCAATTCGCCATTCCAGCATAAACGTAGATCTTCTGGGCCCAAATCCGGGCTTGCTACGCGCCCGCAAGATTAGATAGTAACGAATCGATCCTCAAGCCCAGGACAGACAGGATATGATTTATAAAGTGTAACTCTTAATTCTCACTTCGTGGGCGTTTCCCTCCGGGAGACCAGACTGTCCACTGAAGTACAACTGGAATGCTTATACTCTAAAACCCCCGCAACAAGCCCCTACCTCTCAGATTCCCTCACCACATCCACAACACGCACCTCGAAGTCCCTCTGCAAAAAGATCCCATGGCACCGACTCCTCCACGGCCTCTGTGGCCTCAAAGCCACCACATCCCACCTCCTCAACACCTCGACCACCACCTTACCCATCATCATCACTGCCAACCGAATTCCCAAACACCTCGTACTCCCCCAATTAAACATCAGCTCATGCACCCGATCCATACGCTGTCTCTGCTCGGGCGTCGCCTCCAACCACCTCTCTGGACGAAACACATCCACGTCTGGCCCAAATACCTCGTTCCGTAACAAACCCGGGAGATTGAGCCCTATGTTCGTACCTTCGGGGACGTATACTCCGTTTAGAGTATCGCCTCCGGGATGGACTACGCGCTCGCGTAGTGCCGTGATGGGTGGGAAGATGCGTAGGCCTTCGAGGATGCAGGCTTGGAGGTAGGGGAGGGATTTGGTTTCTCGTTCGGTTATTATGGGGGTTGTGGTGGCTGCATTGCGGATTTCGTCGGTTAGGCGTTTGTAGACTAGGGGGTTGGTGATGATGTGCAGGAGGAGGGCGCGGATGGAGGTGGCGGTTGTGTCGGAGCCGGCGAAGCTGGTAGGAGGTTTAATGGTCAGTTAATCGTTTAGTATACGGTTGAGAGGGAGAACTTACAGGGCAATTGTAACTTCTGTGACTGCCAACGATCCGTCAACCCCGTTGCAAAGCCATGAATCTAGCATTGTCTCGTTATGCTTTGGCGGAATGCCCTGTGCTATGCGGGCGTTGACTGTTTTCTGAGCGACCTATCCATACATGTCAGCGCGATCATTGGCCTAGAACAATTGCGAGCTGAAGTAGTATCTCACCCCCATGATTGCTCCGATACCGTCCTTATCCTTAGGTGAGGGTAATACCCTACGCACTATCGGTATGTGGGAGATCATCTTGATCCAGGTGTTGATTTCAGTGAAGATAGCAAATTTCTCCACGATGGGCAGGCGGGTTTCTAGGACATTCTGAAATCCATAACAGTCTTCATGATGGTCGATGAATCCCAGGGGGTGGCCGAGACATAAGTGGCACACCATATCAAATAGCAGCCATTGTATGCTTCGCGCCATATCGAATGCAACGTGGCGGCCTGGCGTTGTCACGGCGTGCATCTGAATATAATCCAGCCAGGTGAGGAGGTTCTGGTCGATGGCATGCTCCATCTGTGGAATGTCTTTGCCTTGGTACTTTGGCAGTCAGCTTTGCGGTACATAGCTCTGAGAGGAATGTGCATGAGCAGGAACAACTAACCCCAGGAGCCATCTTTGCTCTCAATGCATCATGCTTTTGCCGATGCCGCTCAGTAATTAAATTTGCATTATGGGGATCCAGTCGCAAGGCATCAAACCACGGCCCACGAGTGTACTTTGACTGCACTCCAAGTACCTTTCGAAAGATCAGAGGGTCATTTGTGATCAGGTGGTTTGGTCCTATGCGGACGAGGGGACCTATAGCCTAGTTCAATTTTCATTCTCGTCAAACGACTGTCTGGTTCAAGTCGGCTTACCGTATTGTCGGTTAACCTGAAGATATATATCTGCGCATCGCTCCGAATAGAGTGCTCTGAACAGCCAGAGACGAGTATATGGTGCCCACCAGGGTCCAGGAATCTTTCTAAGATGCAGTGTCGATCTTATAATCCAGGTAATGATAATAACAGTGGCCACAATCGGCATTAATGTCCATGTCAGGTCCCGTTGGACCAGAGCCTGAAATCCCTCTGCAAAGGCAGTCATATTGACTGCAGTATGAACGGGGGTCTTTCTCACACTGTATGACCGAGAGTCGGTGCGGGGATAGTCGATACGTGTGGTAAAAGAGAAGAGTAAAGGTGAACAGCTCGTCAGCCCTTGTCTACTTAACGAACATGACTAGATCTATGTGGTTAGCAGGGTACAATAGGACATATCGGAGCCGCATCTGGCAACAGCCTCTCGCCCATATGACACTTCTCCCTTCTATGACTACACAAGCCGGAGAGATATCTAGTAGTAAGGCTCACAGCCATTATAGTGGCTCAACACCATCGCTTACGGCTACGCGGACATTAAGGCCTCCTCTCGAGTCAGCCGTTTTGGGAGTAGGCTGTCGAGACATTCTATGCACTGCCGCAGCATTTCTGCAGGGAAGTCCGGTATCAGAAGTTTCGAAAATTACTAACTGATATTGAACTTGTAACGCAATTTAGGTTCGCCCAGCCGGATATTTAGACATAATTGTGGTCTTCTCCGAGCCAAAGCCCCATTCAGGGTCTAGTGCCCATAGCGTTAGCCGTGCCAGGTGCACGAGTCTTCTGAGATGTATCAGTATCTTCGGTTCAACGCCGCTGATTATGTTTCAAATATATCCTGTTGGTCTAACAGAGAGCTGAAGAAGTTTTACTTCCGGCAGTCCAATGTCTAATCAACAAAGTAGTAGTATATTCCCAAAATTTCATCATTTTAAGACCTCAACTTACCAATGGCAGCTCGCTTATTTTGCCCGCAGCTGTTACCACTTTACCTACCATATAGTCTACAGGAAAATGGCCTACTACTTCATACAGCAGTCAATAGTAGTGCTCCAAGTGGCTACATTCACCATCTACGTGGCCATACACAAAGCCAAGACTCGTATTGACAGGCTGAGATTGCCGATCCCGCTGATCATTGTATGAAAATAACCATTGAACTCCGTCCCTTCCCCCGCAATCTTTCCTCAGTATTCAAGGCTTACCAAATGCCAATGGACGGGGATTACCCCAAGTATCCGATGGCAGAAAGCGCCAAGCACCAGCATGCTTCCGCGCGAACAGATAATGAACAAAGTGAGTGGAGAAGGGTGGCATAGCGGGCCACTGGTTTCCACCCTCGAAGGTTATGTCACGGAGGCCGAGAACCATGGGCGGGATGACATTCTAAATTTGTTGTTCGCTATTGGTTAACAAAGTACTCCCTTGCCAGATAAAGCGGATGAAGTGACTCACCTTATCCTGTTTACCCGCCTCAGCCTCACATTCCTTATAAACCTTGAGCAAAGCAGGCCCGTCATAGGGCTCCATGCTCATGAGGCTGGTGATTTCGTTGGCCAGATGTTCGCGAAAACTAGGCGCCATCTGCTCGATCAGGCTGCGCACGGTCGAGGCCTTGTAGTCAGCGGGCTTGGTCTCCGTCCCGTAGGCGAGGAGCTGCTTCAGGATGGGCTGGAAGGTGTGGTGCTCGTTAACATTTCCCTCGAGAAAATTGGGCTTCTTCATCACTCCTTCAAATTGAGGGAACATCTGTTCTTCTTCCAGAGTGTGGTGGTGGGATACCCATCCGGCCCAACTGCGGAGGAAGACTAGGTAATCGGCGATGTCTTGCGACTCGGTTATTTGCTCGGCTTGCAGATAGAGGGAGTTTAAACCTCGAAGCATGGCGTTGTGGGCGAATGCCATCTCGTTGGCGATGTAGAGAGCTTCATGTCTGGACTGGTATTGTTAACTTTGCTATTTGGTGCCACGTTCTTTTTCCCTTCCAGATGGCACCAGAATAAAAGGGTTGGATCGGACATGACCGACGTACTACTTACAATGTCTTGTGTTTTGGATGGCGTTTCGATCAACGGCCAAGGGCCATCGGCCCACGGACGGGAGGTAGTGCCAGTAGTGGGAGCCATAGTTCAGCGTTATGCTAGTTAGTGACAGCTGTTGACATGAAAGCCGTTAAATATCGCGAGAGGATGAGAGGTTCGAAAAACGAGAGAGTTGGGGGGTGGAAGTCTAGAGGTGGCTAGCTAGTTGATCCTTATGCATCTAGTTTTGTGTCTGAGTAATAGGACGATAACTGTTGCTCTGACCTGCCCGGGCCTCAAACGGCGCCTCGCTAAGATCAAGCTAGCGTCGCATGTAAGATTATAGTATGACACCTCACAAAGAACATTCTTGGACTAATATAGACTCGAATGGCCCGTTCGAGTGCTCTCCAGAGACAATCAGCCTAGCACTTGTGTTGGATTCAAAAATGAGCTACTGTTGGACTGTGTCCTATGTCTATTTGGAAGATCCCGATACTGAACCCTGGCAGATACCCTTTGATGGCCCTTTGACATGGCACGCAGCTGTCAAACTATACACCTAAGATATGCGTCCAAGTTAATATGTAGGCTTTTTCCCACCAGACGAAACGCACCCTTAACCTTCCTTCCCACAACCCTAACTACACCTCCTTCCACTCCTACAACTGGTCTCAAGCAATGGAGACGCACCCACCCCCTCCACGCAAACATTCCATCTCCTTCTGGCTCGTCTTCCTATCGCTCTGCCTACTCTCCTTTGTGTCCGCTTTAGACGGCGCAATCATCAGCACCGCCCTCCCCAAAGTAACCGCCTCTCTCGGCGGCGAAACCGACTATATCTGGATAGCCAACAGCTTCACCATCGCCCAGACAATCGTACAACCCTTTCTCGCCCAACTCTGCGACATTTACGGCCGACGCAACCCCATCCTAATCTCAGTGGCCCTATTCCTCCTGGGCAGCGGCCTCGCGGGCGGCGCCTCCACAGTGGGCCAACTGATCGGCGGTCGCACGGTCCAAGGGCTCGGCTCAGGCGGCATCTACATCCTCGTGGACCTGATTGTATGCGATCTGGTCCCCCAGCGCGAACGCGGCCAATACCTAGGCATAGTCCTCTCCCTAGCAGCCGTCGGCGCCGTCCTAGGCCCCGTTCTAGGCGGCGCCCTCGCCCAAGCCAACTGGCGCTGGGTCTTCTACCTCAACCTGCCCCTCGCCGGGCCCGTACTTCTGTTCATGCTGTTCTTCCTGCGTCTCGACGCCCCCCAATCCTCTTCCCCCAACACACACCCCTCCATCCACCGCATCGACTGGCCCGGCAACATCCTCTTCGCCGGGTCCATCCTCTCCCAACTCCTCGCTCTCGTCGGCGGCGGCACCCTCCACCCCTGGACCTCCCCCTCCACCCTTGTCCCCCTAATCATCGGCATCATTGGCTGGATCCTCTTCCACATCTACGAAGCCCTCCCACCAAAATACTGTCCTCATCCCTGCATACCTCCCCACCTCTTCTCCACCCGCAACAGCCTCCTCGGCTTCATCCTCGCCTTCGACGCCGCCCTCCTCATGCAATGGACCCTCTACTTCCTCCCCATCTACTTCCAGGGCGTGCAGCGCAAGTCCCCACTAACATCAGGAATTGACCTCCTCCCCTACAGCGCCTTCCTCATCCCCTTCGCCATGGTCGCCGGCACAATCATGTCCCGAACGGGTTTCTGCCGCCCACTGCACTTCACAGGCTTCGCGGCCCTCTCTCTCGCGTTAGGTCTCTTCACCCTACTCTCCGCTAACTCTCCCCGCGCAGCATGGGTCTGCGTCCAGCTCCCTGCCGCATTAGGCCAGGGCTTCCTAGCCACGACTATCCTCCCCGCTATTCAGTCGTCCCTGGGCCCTGCTGATACGGCGAGTTCTACGGGCGTGTATGCGTTCCTGCGGTCGTTGGCGTTCGTGTGGGGATCTACGGCTCCGGGGATTGTGTTCAATGCGAGGGTGGATGTGTACGCGGGGAGGATTATTGATGATGAGACGCTGAGGGAGAGGTTGTTGGATGGGAGGGCGTATGGCGCGGCGGCGGAGTTTGCGGGGAGCTGGGGAGCCGGGCTGGGTGAGGTGCAGAGGGAGCAGGTTAGAAAGGTGTATCGGTTGGCGTTGAGGACGGTGTGGCTTGTGGGTTTGGCGTTTGCGCTAGTGGGTGTTGTGGTTGGGTTGGGGATGGGGAGGGTGGTTTTGAGGGGGGAGTTGGAGGAGAATGGGTATGGCTTGAAGGAGAAGGAGGATGACAAGAGGGATGAGGAGGAGAGGGCTGTGGGTGAGGGTGAGGGAACTGAAGGTAGGGCTCGAGGTTAAGGTTTAGTGCTTATGTTTATGCAGTTGCATGGTTCGGGGATTTTTTGATAAGGGCGTGCGGGGGTGTATGGGCGGTAATATTTCGTATGTAGGTGTGCAGATGTAGAACGTAGTAGATACTTACTAATAGATACTAATTCATAGGGGCTCAGGCAGATTTCTTCAAGTGCAAGTTTACAAGCGAGGCTCTCCTGCATACTATGACAAGATTGCCCAGGTGTCGGTTAAGATTTGCGCTAGAAATACACAAGTGGCTTGATTGCAAATACTAAACTGATGTGGATTACCGTAATGTGTCCTTTGTATTAACTTAGAGTTATTTATAAATACTAGAAGCAGCACGAGCGCCTATAGATGTTCAGAACTTTGTAATTGGGGGCCAAAGACTGCATACACGAAAACGTATCCACTCAATTCCCCTCGTTCTGATGAAGTCGACCCATCTTGTACCCCTCCATCTGAATCGCATTCTTCGGCAGGTCTGATGAGCTATGTAGATTGTGATAGGGGCCTCGATGGTCTGATGACCCCTGACTGAGTTGGGGATTAGGCGTTGCTGACGATGAGGACCCAAACGACTTTCCGCCGTTGCTGCTACTCTTACTAGCATTCTGTGAAAAGCCGAGCAACCCAACTATGGACCCCGTAAGCGAGGAGAAGAATAATCGTGGTTGTCGCCTTGGCGTGCTGCCCGTGCCTCTAGAATCGGAGCCGTGCGAATGGTTTCGATGTATTAGCCGCCACACGGCTGGCGAGCAACTGCAGATGATAGCGATGTTGAGTTCCAAGATTCTGCCAAGAGGCGCAAGGCAGTCAGTTCAATGAGTCTGATCCTTTTCCTATTACCTGTCGTCTCTACAACGCCAAGACACGTCCTTCGGGGCGGAGGACTTACGAGGTAACATCGTATGCGCCTTCGTTCCAGTCAGTATCGCTCCCAACGTGCAGCTGGACTCGGTAGTACATGCTAATACAGCTGGCTAGTAGAGCACTAAATGGAGTGTGCATTGTTAGCGAGAGACGATCCTCGTATATGGGATCTGCACATGATAGGCCAAATGTCCATATTCAGGGTCCAGGTGGGGCGGGTTGACACATACATACAACCAACACCGAATACCAAGGCGATATTCAGCCTTTTCTGCCGCGATAACTTCAGTTTCCAAATGATAGGCTGGGGCAGGATTAGTGCATAGGCATCCAGAAGGATGTTCCCAGCTCCCTGCACGATCGCGTCCGGCAACGCCTTTGAACAGCGGTGGAAGGTGTCCATATCAAGATATGAGTGGCCCGCACGCGGGGCACAGACAACCGCCGTCAGAATGAATGTATGAATATACAGCACGAAAGCCGCGATGAGTCCAGCCCAGCATGCCTTAGAAAAATTGCGGTGAAGTGGGGCATCGAACAGACGGCGGTAGAGCACGAATACTGGCGCCCGCGAAAAGAAAAAGGCGAGCGGGTTGAACAGATTCTGCGCCAAGCGTAGTCGCCAGTATTCTTGGTCACTATACAGCCACGATAAAGGCACGTCCCACATGTGCCGAGCTGCATAGCTCACTGAGGGCACGAGGCCTTTTAGCACTGGCTATATTCAAGGGAAGCGGATGCTTACAGTGGATCAGAAAACCCATATAGGCGAAAGTGCAGATCTGTCCCGAATTAAGTGTCAGCTATTGTAGCCGCGGAGAAATGTGGAGATGTGGAGGCCGCCGCTCGAGCCATCATACCACGGCAAGTATGCATAGAACTAGAGACGATGTGAGTCAGATTGACAGGCAAGAGGAGGCGGTACATGGAATTCTCCATGGCTGAGTGTGCTTGCCATCGTCTGCGGCAACCTTCTGTAGGCTCCGAGCAACAGAATACAGGCGAAGGGAGACAGCAATGGTGGTCAGGACGTAGAAGAGTGCGGCAAATCCAATGATCGTAGATTGTAATGACGGAGGATTGCCATATAAGTTGGGAGTCACCCCGGCAGGAGGGGTCCCCGCAGGAACCTGAGACATGTCTATGGTTGCAGATGCGGCTGCCATGGTTAAGAAAGTTGACTGTAGCTTAAAGGAATGTATTACTTCCGGAAAGAAAGTCTCGAGGCCCAGCTATATACCGCAGAAGGACCAAAAGTATCGTACATCATGCTGCAAGGCAGATATTGGTCGAATTGATTGGTCCTAGATCTTGAAGCGAGGTGCGAAGGATGTTAACCGGAGGACCAGACAAAATTCGGTTCGGAACGTTATCTTATTTTGGAATTCTTCAGCCTTTGAAGGGGCCATTCCGGTCATCCTCCTGATGGCTCAAACTCTAGATAAGTAGAGTGAGCGTGGCGCAGGGTCAATGCAGAGGTTCCTGTTGAGGCAGCCACTGCCGGTACTGTTTAGATACTGAAGACTCGTATTGACGATGGGATTGCAAATTACCACACTTCTTGTCACCTATGCACAATAATACAGGCAGCGGCACCAAGCTGAATGTCTAGTGCTTATCGCTGTATCTTCTGCCTCCTCGCCTCGGCAGATGGCCCTTCGGCATGCTGAAGTTTGCACAGGACATTGAGGCTATTGACCATATCAGAACGCAGGCATGCAGCCACGCTATTTCCTCCACTTCTTGTTAATGACTTGAATTACTCATTCTTTCCACTTCAATATTCTCCACTGACGAGCCTACATTGCTGCCTTCGTTATGGAGTGGTATTTGGCACACCACAAAATCCCTCTTGGGGATGCAGAAAGCCCTACAGCTTTTACTGCCGTATCCATAGCCATTTTATGGTCAAGCTGGTATCTCTGGCGCTTCTACATCGTTCCCGCCCTCTACCCTAACCAACCACGCATACTACCATACTGGATACCCTACATCGGTGCGTCTCCTCCCTTCCCACTTCACATCCACCCACAAAAAGTCCCTTAATTAACGCACCATCAAACAGGCCATACAGTCTCCTTCGTACGATGCGCAGAAAATGTATATCGGAGAGCAAAGTAAGCCACCCTTACCCCCTCTTCACCACCCCGGAAGCTAAAGCACAACGTATCCACATATAGTGCCTACTTCCCCGACACCGAGCCCTACAGCGTCATCCTCATGGGAGGCACAACAGTCATCATCCGGGACATCAAAGACCTATCCAGCGTGTGGAGAAACACCAGTGCCCTAAGCTACGACCCTTTTACGTCTCGCATGCTCATGGCCTTTGGCATAACACCGTATCATGTGCGAAATCTGTATAAACCAGATCCAGCTCGTCTGCTTCCTGACGAGCAGACACGCGAGCGATCACTGCTATCGTGTGCCAATCCCAAGAAGCTCTCTTACATGCATTTGCAGAGTCAGTGGTTCAAGTCGCAGCTACTGCCGGGTGAGCACCTTAATGGCCTACTGCAGGCTTATCCGGTGTTTTTGTCTCGGTTTCTTGATATCTCACTCCTACGTAAGGGTTTGGCTGGGGAGGTAACATCTTTCAAATGTGATGGAGCCAATACCTCGGTGACACTCCCCCTTGGACGCTTCTGTCGCTACTTCCTAGCGCAGAGCGCATTCCGAACCTTCTTCGGGGAGGAATTATTCGAGATCGAGCTGGAATTTACCCGCATCTACCAGCGCTGGGAAGACGCGAGCTGGAAGATCTTCTATAACTTCCCTCACTTCCTCGCGCCGGGGTTGCAAGCAGATCGCAAGCGTGTTATCGCGGCTCTCGCTGTATATCTGGATCTACCTGAATCCAAGAGAAAGAACACCGCCTGGATTTTCGGGGCTATGAACTCCGAATTGACTAACCTGGGCTTGCCCGCTCATGACCGCGCGGGCCTTATCATGATGATCTGTTGGGCGTATGTTTATCCCTCGCCCCAACAATTTTAACACTCAAGAAGCTAACTGGCAAAATGTAGAATAAACAATAACGCCCATTACATCGCCTTCTGGATGTTCGCACACATTCTCACCAACCCAACCCTGAAAGCATCCATCGAGAGTGAAATATCTGCCTGCTTCCCCAGCCCAACCTCCGACCAAGGATGTGACATGGAGAAACTATCCAGCGCATGTCCCCATCTCAACGCCCTCTGGGCGGAAGCCCTTCGGCTATACAATTTCTCAACGGCAGTGCGCAAAGCCGTGGATGACTGCTCTGTCGGGAGCAAAGTCATTCATAAGGGGGACCAGGTCTTCGGTCCCGTGCGTAACTTCCACTTGGCTGAGGGTGTCTTCAGCACTGGAGCCGCTGAGTTTGACTGTTCTCGCTTCTTGAAGAATCCGAAGATCAGGCAGGCGAAGGAATATTTCCCCTTCGGGGGTGGGCATACGCTGTGTCCGGGGAGGTACTTTGCTGAACGGGAGGTTTATTTGTTGGTTGCGATGAGTTTAAGAAGGTTTAAGATGGAGGTCACGACTGCTGATGGGGACGTTGTAGAGAGCCCGAAAGTTCCGGACATTCGGATGGATTTGCCGTCGTTGGCGGCGGCAGCGCCGGCGGGGGATTTGTTTGTGACGGTGAGGAGTTGAAGATTTTATACGTGGTGAAGGGTGGAAGATGGGAAGGTAAAGGGATATTTTGGAGGTGTTGTTAGTAATTCCAATCAAGTAGATAGATGTATAGTCTGGTGCTTCAATTATGGAATATTTGAATGTGTATAGATAGAGCATGTTCGAAGGTCTCTCGTCTGTGGTGAGTTGTTGTTAGCAAGACACCACCACACAACTGACATCACATGTTTGATTCCTACATCATGTAATTTCCTTGATCGATTCCATTTGCGGGTTGGACTGGAAACCAATCAATCCCTTCGCTCCCAACTCCTCATCTATCAACATGTCAGTTCCCCAACCACATAGATAAAACATAGCATCTTATAAACAAATCCAACCCAAAACATGAAACAATCCATTCACATACATAATACCCACCTCCCCCTCCAATACACCAACCAAACAGTAATCACATCCAGAACCAAGACAGGAACAATCCCCAAACACGTATCCACCGCTTCCTCCGTCCAACCATCACCATAGTAAGCATGCCAAGCTACAATAGGGAACGTAACAAGATGCATGGTGATAAATCCGACAAGTTGGATGGTGATATCAGTCGACATGCCAAAGAAGTAAAGCTGGATCCACACAATTATGCAGGTTCCTAGCCCGTCATATAGATTATACCAGAAGGGGCTCCATTCTGAGGTTGGGATTAGGTAGAAGGAGAGGGTTTCGAAGAGGGATGGGAGGATGGTTGGTGGCATTTGCGGTTGTTGGAGGGCATTGGCGATGGGTATATGTAGGTCTTGGGGATGAGAGTTGGCGATAAATGGGTACCTAGTTCTTGGTTCTTATGGGTGGGATAAACTGGATATTTGAGCTGGACCCCTGAAAGCTCTATGGTAGGGCTGAAATCAGTAAGTTTTCAATGGCCTGCGGATGGATCCTCGCTGTGGGGGTAGGCCGAAACCTAGCAAATGGGCGGGTGCACTATGAATCAGTATCACTTTGGAGGCTCAATGGACCGTGCGTCGGCAATACGTCGGGTCCATTTATTTAGTTTCGATGAATATACTCTGTGCGGGGTATCTTAAAGTAATCGTCCGTAACTATCAAGACCTCGTGATGAAATATCCAAGCCTATAGGTACAGTGATCTGCCATGATAACAGTGGAGTTTTCTCTATCTCTTTTATATAAAGCATATCATAGAGGAGAGGTACATATACATCTAGATCCCTTTATACAGTCCAAATCCTAAGACCCTGTCTAACCCTCAAAGACATTTTGACTCAACTCCACACCCATATCCTTGGCCATTCCCTGCATCTGCGCCTCGATGCTATCCTCCATACCACCACCAAGTCTCAAGAACTGCCGCACCTTCGTGAACCAGAAAAACAGGTCCGTGCTGAACAGCACCACGCGGAACAGCAAATGACGACCAAAGTTCCTCAGCTTCTCCGATGCCGACAAGTCCGGAGACTCGACTAGCGCGCGGGACGCCCAAGTTCCGGTAATCTTGACGCGGTTGACGGGCGAGCCCAGGAACTGGTTGTTGGCCTGAACGATGCGAAGGTTGCGGCCAATGAAGATCAGTGGGCGGGGCCATTTGGATTCATCGCCGAGGATGTCACGAATTGCTTTGCGGGCAGCTTGCTGCATTTCGTAGTGCCGCGTGGCACGCTCGGATTTGCTGAGCCCTTCGAAGGAGCGGTGCGTCGAGAGGTCGCCGCCGCGGTAAGGTCGCATCAGGGTCGCAGAGGCGAAGAGGTCAGCATTCTGGACGCCCCAGCTACGGACGATGGAGTTAAGGGTGGTGTTGTCGAAGGTGAGAAGAGCTTTCCAGAAGCGAGCGTACTGGTGTCGGAATTCAGTGTCCATGTGGATGTAGAGTCCGTGGTCGATGAGGACAAGCTCCGGGTGACCCGAAGGAGTCCGGCGGATGAAGATGTTGCCTGGGTGCGGATCGCAATGGACTATGCCCCAGAGGAACATTTGTGCGGAGAAGAGGTCTACCATAGTAGTCATGACTTCCTTAAGAGACAGGCCTAGACCAGCGCGAGCGTAACCACCGCGCCAGTGATCTCGCTCGGGCTTAATGTTGGTGGTAAGGTTCGGATTGCGAGCCACTTTGGCGACAGGGTCTTCGGTGTTGCGCGCGTCAAGAGGCGTGCCATGGCAGCCTGGGGTGCCGCTGCGCCAACCGCCACGCCAAGTCCGCGTGATGGAGTCCTTATCCCAGAGGCGGACACCTTCAATCCACTCAGCGGTCATCACACGCTTAGAGCTGAGCTCGCGGTAGACCTTGGGAATGTACACGCGGCCGCGGAGACGGGACTCTCCGGCGACCAAACGCGCCATGTGCTCGGAGTTGTCGGCCTCATTTTCGAAGTCGGTCTCAAGGGAGAGACGCTCCGACACATAGGGAACCAGGCTGTAAAACGGGATATCAAAGGTGCGGCTATAGATCCAGGCAACGACTCTGTTCTCATTAGCATTCTGCGATGCTGGGTGCGGGGCGGGGGCTTACTTGAAAGCCCACAGATCCCATTTCAGCTGTTGAGCGATTTCACGTTTCTGTATTTTGATTGCCACCTCACGACCATCCGGAAGACGCGCCCAATGTACCTGTGCTACACTGGCACTCGCGCGCGCAGCCCGCTCCATAATGCCCTTGCCGGGCTCACCCGAGAAGGAGACGCCAAAAACCTCCTCAGCGGAGCGGCCAAAGTCCTCGCGGATGACCTTCTCGACATCTTTCCAGTCGTTCTGAGGGGCGTCATCGAACATGCGCGAGAACATCTTTTGAAACTCCGGGGGCAGGATGGCGGACTGCATGGCGATGGCTTGGCCGATCTTCAAGTACAGACCGCCATTGTGACGCAGGAGGTCGGACAGACGCTCAGCATTGCGGGTGTGTACGGCGTTGATGTCTCTGGCCAGCGGCGGGTTGGGACGGAAGTTTATCTTGTAATCCAGAGCTACCAGAAGACCCAAGCTGAAGGTGCGAGCCGTTCGTGTCAGAGATGAGGCGTAGAACTGGGTGTCGAGGACGTAGACGGTGCCGGTGGCTAGCGAGAGGTAGAACAACCGACGAAGCCATTTCCGAGTGCGATCGTAGGTTTTGGCCTTGGTAGGTCTACCTAGGGAGGCTGGCGAGGGGGGGACGAAAGGCTGGTAATGGCCTGCCTGGACATATTGACGGAGTTGCAAGAGAGGCTGACGGGTTGCATGAGGGGGCGGGTGGACACGCGGGCGAGCAAGCTGGGAGGGAAGGGAGCGCCAGGGGCGGGAGACGGTGGCCGATGCCATCAGAACGAGAAGACAGGTATGAATATTGTCATGGCGGGGGCATGTAAGAGGACAGTGAAGTCAATGGCGTGACAATGGCGAGAAGTAAGCGGATCCGGTTCAAGGAAGCAGAAACAGAGGGGGAAACGCAGATGACGTGAAGGCGGAGAAGGAAGTCGGAGAGGATGACGAATTGCCCGATCGGGCCATTCGGGCGGAGAATTGAACCAAGATACACGTTTTCTCCCATCATTTCAACTCTCTTCAGATATATACCCCTTAGGAAAAGATAGAAAGAAAAAAAGAGATTGATGATGTAGAGTCCAAATTATCTCGACATATGAAATCAAGGTAGTAGCTGTGGTTGTTCTCTTGAGATTTCGCTATCAGTGTGGATCTCCTATTGAAACTAACCCTGAACTACTGTAGAAACAGTAGACCACAGATGTCTAGAGCTACTCAAAGATCATTTTCGAATCAGATATCGTTATTATTGTTCTCTCAACTCCAAGCTAACGTAGAGTGCAGCGGCGGAGTACATGATTGATCATGTACAATGAAACGTGAGCGCATCGCAAAAGCGGCATGGTTTTCAAGAGCACCAGTGTTGCTCTTTATGTCCAGGTGAGGTCAAGTCTTCCTCCGAGCATCACAGGGATGTGAGTGGTGAGGCCAAGGTTTCGATACGCTAAACAAGTCTACTAGTATTACCGTAGCCCAGTAGATGTACACGGTGTAGAAGTCCGATCTGCGTCCCAAGACCAAATAGAAAGAGAGCATTCCAGAAGGTCAATATGCCAATTCAGCGAAGCGGCCTACACACTGAATGAGTAATGATTGGAGCGAGTCGAGTTTCCAATAGCAATGTCTCATGCACGGTAACCGGTATGGCGCCAGGGGCTGTGACCGAAGGTCGGACAGCATGCCCAGATCGTGGCAATCTCCTGCGTCAGAAACGGTGGGATCGACATGACGATAAGCAAGTGTAGTCTCTCAACTGTATACCATAGTCGAACAAAGCCGGCCACAACCAGACCTGTACATGATTGTCCCTAAAAGGACACCCCCGAGCATGAGTGGAATGCTTGTTATACATCCTGCCGCGAGCTGAATGACCTAGATGGACGAGGGAACCCCTGAGATACTGAATAGCCGGATGTGCACTACCGCTGCAGATACCGGAAATAGACAAGAAGCACATATTTGTAACATCACTCCTTCTCTCCTCTCGCTTCCGCGCGCTTTGTTCTGGCTGAAGTCTCAGTGGTTTAAGTTGGAGATGGAAGAGGACAGAAATTCGGCCATAATAAAAGATATAAAATCAGAGACATGAATAAAGGGACACATGTAATGCAGACGATGCTGACCTTGAAGATATACAACACTGTAGTTTTGCATACCCCCCATTGCAAGATGGAACTTCAAGTTTAACCAAATGCGAACACTTTGATACTCTTGTGCGCTATATCAGCGGCATAGTGATTTGCTTCTAGTGCCAATGTTCTTCACATGAGAGCCTGGAAAGTACTAAGGGACGCTCCAAAGCTTATCATCCCTTACTCTGCCCCGAGTAGATGTAATTGGTGCTGATATGGGTGACTAACGATGTGACGTAGGGTACATAGCGCACAATGCATAACCCAGTGTATAAGAGCTACATTTGTACTACGAGTTATTCAAGTTCTCTTAGAAGCGTATACTGCCATTATGCTTCCCCTAGTGAACTCTCTTTACAAGTTACAATCCTGAACTCCACAAGGAACGATTCGAGAATCTTCTTTGTACTTCAGAGTGAATTTTATCCTTTCGATTCGTAGATATGCCCCATTATGTAAGACCTTTTGCATTCAATTAGACTGTCTATCGTAAGGCTCGTGGACTGCGATGTAAAGCTTAACGTTGGACCTACTGTTTTGATAGTGCCATGGACAAACGGCCCAGAGTAACTCGAGAGCAGTCCCTTACATCCATGACAGCAGCTGCCTATCAGAAAGCATACGGATGATTGTTCCATGACCCTCCGGTTTGCCCTGACGCAGAATCCGAACGTGGCAATTTGCAGTTGCATTGCAGTAAATCTTCAACTATTCAGTTTTCGAGAGACTGTACCTGTTTGGCGCCGGTCCAATGCGAGTGCCAGGTCAACACAAAGATGCCTCACGCGAAGTTCGGCTATCTTGTATATCATAGTTACATACTTTATGTGCAGGTTGCTGAAATAGGAACACCCAAACCCCTCAGAAAACTGGTCATTTGGCTGCAAAACGCATCGATCTGCGGGCTACGAGGCGTGCGCTATGTGCAGAGCGTTATGCTTCAGAGGTACTGTCTCTAAACCGGACATGCCACTTGAGGCTTGGAGCAATCGTGATCCAGAGTGGATATGATCAGATACCTAAATAAGGTTGGGGCGGTTGAGTTCGCGCGCTGGGCGTAGTAGGGAAACCGAAGTAGTTTCGAGGCAATCAATATCCTTTGGGCAGCTATGTACTGTATTATATACACCTTTCCGTGAGTGTTCTGCTGTGTTGTCCGCTTTCTAGTCTTCTTACCAAGCAATCAACCAGCTTTGCATATGGATTCAATATTACGAGGGCTCACGTGGAGAATGAGCACATGTCCCGCATGTGGAAACATACATCTTACTTGGCTCACATGTAAGTCATTTGCCCAATGCTCTTCCCATTCATGGACACTAACTATGGCGTCAATATCTTCAGATCAAACGATATACACTCATTCCAAAAGGAATATGTATGTCATGAGACCTATCCCTCAGATTGTATACAGCACTGACACTGACAACACCAGAATGATGGACAGCTGGAGAACCTAATTCCGGTACTTATGGCAAACACGGGACTTGATGTTAACCAGGCAATGCAGCTCAGCTACCATATTTGTCGTTTGGAAGTAGAGGGCTTCTGCGCTAATGCAGGTAGGCTCTGTGTGGGTGAGGACGCCCAAGGACGCCGTATTTGACAAGTCTTCGTCAATTGCTGTACGGACATGTTCATGGGACTCATACATTGGAGGTATTACAGACCCCTGGCCAAATAGAGAGTCATGGCTGACCTTTACCTAGTTATGTTAGCAAGCGCTGGATCAAGCAAACGGATATCAATCCTGATCAAACTATTACATTCCAGGTTGGATCTACTGGAGGTCCTCGTTGAATAATATTTGACCATCTTGTGGCTGAACTTGAAAGGCTTGTTGGGCAGACATGAAGAGCCCTCTGGCCATAAGGTTATTGTCAGCTAAACACATCAGAGTCCATTTGACCAAGAGAGAAGGTTGACCCAGCAATCAAGTTATATCGTGGGGACACTATCCTATTCATTCGACCAGACTGATAAATGTTTGAAACTCTCACATGTTTTCACCCTGAGGTTCTAGTTAACTACAATTGTTACCAAGATGCCTAAGGTCATCACTATTGATTCAAAAGAAATGAGAATGCATTAGATTCAAGAATAATAAGTTGCTCATTTTCTATTCTCTGGATACTGCCAGAAGACTCTACTAATGAGTGATACTAGCAACGTAAGTCCATCCAGTATTTAAAGCCTACAATGGATGAGCGTTCGAAAATTGTGGGAAGCCACTGGCTATTATCACAGCAAATATCATGTATTCCAAGTTGTATCCGCTTTGTACTATGAATTTGCGCGCTATGAGTACTCAGTAAATAGACCATCATCCAACTCCAGAAAGTCATTTTTGGAAGCTTCAGAAAAGTCGGGAAATAGTCGAATAAGAAATAATACTAAGTATATTCGTCTTCGCCATTTGCTTGATAAGTACCAACTACTTACACCCCCAACAACTCCTCCACCCCCACCACCCCCATCCCCCCAAACCCCCCACCCAAACCCCTACAAACACCCGCATACTCCCTCATCTTCCCCGGAATAATGACCTCCCACAACTCATCCTTCTTCAACCACTCCAACTGCTCACGACACACCTCCTCCCTGGCCAACGGCAACAACGTGGGCAAATTACTCAGCGCCGCCCGCACAAACCCCTTCTTAAAGCACGTCCCAAACGCCGCCAACGTCTCATCATCAGAGCAAACATCCCTGCCCTGCAACAATGGCCCGCACTGTCGCTTAATCACATCCGCTACATCATCGCCCAGCCGCACCATCGCCTCCTCCTGTCGCGGGTTATCAACATGTTCCATGAGACTGCGCACAGCGGGAAGGAAGGTATTGTTGCGCGTCCATAGATCCCAGTGCGGTACGGTGGGTTGGCATCCCTTGTCGCAGACTTCGCGCTGGAATTTGGTGAAGATGTCGTTGGGGCGGCCTGTTAATGTAGTGAGGACGCGGATGCAGAGGGGGCTGAATTTAGCGGTGGTGAGGAGGGGGAGGAGGAGGAGGAAGAGGGTGGTGAGGAGGAGGCGCATGGTGGGTGGTAGTGGTGGGTGGTAGTAGATTTGATGGCGGCCTGCGCGCTGTGCATGTAAAATCAAGAAACCGGTCTTAATTAACTCTGTTTTATCGTAGGCTTCGTCATGGAAAGAAAAAAAGAAAAGAAAAGAAAAGATGTGCTGTTAGGAAGGAGGAAGAAAGCAAAACCCGCTCAGTTGGTTGTGGTTTCCCCTCAAACTCCAGGTTTCTTGTTACTGCTTTTCCCCTGATTGATCGACACCCCGCAGAAATCGGTCATCATCCCTCGGCATCCATCCTTCGCTCATGCACCTGCTTTTCGCATCATCAGCAGCATCATTATCAGCATCATCATCAAATTACCAATAGTAATTCAAAAGTGTAAATTCCCTCATGAAAAAATTCCAGGGCATTTCCACGCACAGACACCGAATATGATCTCTCATATTGACATCATGATCCGATCACTCCCCCAGCCCCTCGGTCCTCCAGAAAGTTATCATCGCGGCCAGCGCGGGAACACCCGTTCAAAGTTCTGACAGCCACGCTGCAGAATCTGAAATGAAAGGGGAGCGGCAGCAGCAGGAGCAGCAGGAGCAGGAGCCCTCTGGATCATCGTGACACACAGGAAACTAGTGGTGATGAGCACTTGCAGCAGGCGTCCGATGGTTCGTGCCATTGCATCTGATCTGTCCAGCTGGTGATATGATATGGAATGCGGGGATGGCTCGATTCGGATAATTAGGCATCGGGGCTGCGCGTGTTGTTGTCGGCTATGTCTCGGGCTTTATCACGAAAGGGGGAGAGTAAATGTGGGTTAGTAGATAGCAGTAGTATGCCAGTAGTAGTCATGGGATGTATCGATCTTGTCTGCCTGTCAGTCTGTCGGTCAGTTCCTCACGGGGCGTCTGCAGGGGGTGTTGTGGGATGGGTTTCACGTCCAAACCTGTTCGAACAGGTTCGATCCCGCCAGTCCGTGTTTGTGCGCTGGCTGTTGATTAGATTGGGTTTGAGGAATTGGGTTCATCCCTCCCTCCCTCACTCCCTCGTTTGATCGCGGCATTTTCATGGGGAACCCCCCGTGTGGGTGGAGTCAGTCAGTCGGGAACGAGTTTGTCTACTGTACGAGTCTACGGCAGATCTTCGTTCTCCTGAACCATACATACTATCTACTCCGTACTCTATCTCATTTGTCACGTAGTGATGAGGATGGTTGATAGATGATAGATGACCTTAGGGGTGTTGTTCACATGTCTTCATTAGAATTATTATGTTACTCATCTGACCCAGTCAGTCAGGTTTAATCAATACCGAAACCGGCCGTGCCTGATTCTCCCTTGCTTCCCATGCCCGAAACTCCTCGCTAAACTCATCCCGAAAAGAAAACTCCCAGTGCAACCGGTGACAAGAAGTGTAACAAACAGATAGGAAATGTCTCAGAGAGTGATCCAGCATGCTGGACAATGTTGATATGATGTGATGATGTGATGATGTTGGTGATAAACAAATGAAACAACCGTCATGCCAGACGGGTATCGCTCAGTAGCTATGCATAATCTTGTTGAAAATAATTGTCGTCGAAGAAAGTCGAAGAAAAAAAAAAAGTTTATCGACAAAACATAAATGTAAAGGAAGGAAGGCAATCAGGCCTGTCGGCGACGTCGCAATTCGTCGCGGTTGAGTAGTCGCCGAATTCGTGACACAATGCGGCATGCTGTGGAGTCTGCGCAGACGTTAGCGTGGCTCATATGCACCTTGTCTGACAGATCAGACTGGTTGGATTTGAAATCGGAGGCAACCGATGAAGGACGTGTGCACATACCACTGTTCCTGCGTAGCATCGACTTGGTCGAATAATGCTCCGACGCTTCGTCCACTGAGAGGCTGCTGTCATATCCAGCGTAGTGGTTGGCCTTGCACCACGGGTACTCGTCGGTTTGGAGCTGAAGAGCCACGACGTGTGGGTAGAGTGTCCCGAGAGGGTAGAGGATCTCTTCGGTGGAAAGTTCGCGCTTCATCTCGAAGCTCTGGCTAGTCTAGAAGGCATGAGTAATTGGTCTTTCATTCCTCTGGAACAAGGTCACTCACATAAGGCTCGTAGTTGGTGCGGTAAGGCATGGTGAGTGAGCGAGGTAGCGACAGACGAGTGTAGTGTTTGTAGAGGATAGTGTAGTAGTTGGAAGGGTTGTAGAATGCACTGATCAATGCTATTATACACGTTCTGAAAGAGACTTTGTGATGGATGGAGAACGAGTGCCTTCCGTCCGGGAGAAACCTTGATGGTTATATAGCATGAGATAGCGAAGCATGCTGTGGTGGAGGGTGACGGTCAGCCACTCCGTCCGTAATCATTCAGAGTGGGGAAGCTTCAGCGCATGGCAGGGTGACCCTGACTAACGCTGGGCTTGGCCAGCCTAAGATTTCCATTTTTACTATTTTCTTTTTTCTCTTTAATCTCTGCAGCCTCCATGGCTGGCGGGCATGTCCACTGTGATGGATCTAATCGCCCGAATGATTTGAGTTTTAGCGGCAGTCATGATCTCATCATATCATAAGCCTGCGGGACTAGCGAACCAGCGATCAGGTAAAAACTGGGACAAATCTGACTAAATCTGACTAGCGTCCTGACGAGCTGGGCCATGTCGGTCCGAAGACTAAGAGAGAGGCTACGATGGAGCGGCTATCCCGATCTCTTAGGTCCAGAATAGACATCCCAGCAAGCAGGTACCTAACGAGCATTGTGAGCGCCCACTGAGCGGTTCGGCCAGGTTCGGTGGTCTCCACCCGTCAGGCACGCCAGGTCTCTCTAAGCCGGATGAGGAGTAGGCTCGAAGCAGCGGCTGAAGCAGGCGAAGGCGGTGGACCCAGGGTTAGCGTGGACGCCAGGCCTCACTCAACACGACGCTGGATCCAAGTCTGACTGGCTGACTGGCTGGTCGCTGCTGATCGACGTCCAAACCACCGGTGTCTCCGATGGGCGATGGCCGATGGCCGCGCTGGCAGGCCTTCCCTCCCTCCCCCTCCATCCCCTTGCATATTGGGGAGTCAGGTGCATCGGATCTCCTCCACGTTTGCAGTTCCTGGGGGGTTGCATATGTATGATGACTATGAGGGTAAGAGGTAGCGCATGCCTGTACCACCCAGGGGGGTGTTCGCAATCACCCGCATAAGCCAAGGTCATCAGGACCATGTGTAAGATTGAGAGAGTTACTACTAGTAGGTAATCATGTGTCATGATTGCGTCGTCTATGGGTGCGGGGATGCCAGAGGAGCTGTCACAGATCGGTGTCGACTATTGATTCTCCATTGACCGGGGGGCAGAGTAGTGGGCAGAGTAATTAGTCTGGTCTGGGAGACAACAAGTTGTGGTCAAGGTTAATCCAGGTCGCCGATGACCAGGACCACACTTAGGTTTGCAGGCGGTGGGTGGGCTTTGACCCAGACCCAGGACATGGGTAACTCAAGAAGGCACTAGATGGGAGACTTGCTAAACTCACACGGTCGCATATTAGTTTCCCATTGGCGCTGCTCGCTTTATTAAACGCAATCAACGATAGATTAAACCATGGGTGAGCGGGTTGAGGGGAAGGAGGATAAGCGAAGGAGAAGCAGACCCCGGTGCTCTTGGCCATTCCAAATCCTTTGTGTTAGCGTCGCTGGGGTTGTCCAGGTTCCCGGGATTGCAAATCTCTGGTGCAGAGAAACAATGGCCATACATCATTGAGGTGGAGGAATGGCTACTAGTAATGATCTGGTATAGTAGTATGAAGCACTAAGACATTAAGACACCAGGATTGACTCTGTACTCAGTAGTTCAAAGTAGTTCCAAGTCTCTCCCTGCGGTTCCTGGGATTTATCAGGGCAGTGATTGGGTCACGGTGCCTGGGCAGTAACCCAATGCGGCAAGACGGTGTACCTCAGGCTCGGGTTTCACAGGGCCTTACAGCCTTAGGCTGGAATAGGGCTGCACAGCCACTGCGTCCCACCCGCGCCACATCACGAACTATGCCACTAGTCCTATCATAGTATCATCGTGGCTCGCTTTTCTGTGGCTGGAATGCTGTGGCTTGACCCATCCCCGTCAATAGCAGCAAATCCGTGATAGCCTCAGATCCTCGCATGGGCAATAGTTTGCGCGCCAGCTCCACCTGCCATGCGGATCCTCGTGAGCTTGCTCCCACCGTTCTTGGGCCTTACATTTCCGCATGCTAATCCCCGATTTTTATCGGTCTGACCGTCATTCCCAACATGGAGGAAAGGAGGAGTATAAGGAGGGCCTACCCTCGTGCTTGAGGTCCACGAATTCACCAATTCTTCATCTTCACCAGACTTCACTTCACTATTATAAGTCTATAACCTCTCAGACATCATATGTCCTTCCTCCGTGGTCATGAATACAAACATGCATATGAATCTGTCTCCCTGCGGAAAAGACTCAAGGCCAACTTCACCTCCTCCCTACGTCGAATTTCACGATCCTTTTTCCGCCGCATCTCTGGCATATCAACCCCAAAGTAAGTCCACTTCCATGTTTCTATCAAGTCACCTATCGTCGTGAAGCCATGCCAACCCCTCCACAGAATCTCTTTGTCTTAACATGGACACTGAAACCAGTCCTGGTAGACCTGAACCTCCGGCCTTAGCTGTTCCCATGACACCTTCGTCTCCAAGCTGGCCTGTCCACCCTGAGCCTTGTCAATTTCAGGATCAACCCTTTATGCGCACAGGCACGGAAGAGGTTCCCGAGCCTTCCTCAGACCTTTGCCCGGACCTCCTTGACTCCTGGTACCCGAGGTACCTGGCATGCACGCAGTTCTTTGTTTCCTATGCGCAGCATACCCCGACAGTGCAGTCGTTGGCCGCATTTCTTAACATTCGACTGCCTTGCCAGCAATCTGGGGCCCAGGCAACCCATCCGTCATTACGCGCTTACATTCGACGCCTCATCGTAACAGCACAGGATAGTCCTGAGGTGCTTGGCGCGTTCTTCGGAGAAGATTGGATCGGGGGAGTGGGGAGCATTGTCAAGCAAGAGCGGGTGAATTACTTGTTTACGGCAAAGAGCGGCGGGTGGGCGTCAACAAAGGCGGCGTATGATATTCTGCCGGACGAGCAAACGCCATTTTTACGGCCATTGCGAGCAGCTGCAGAGGAAGAGTTACGCGAGGCGGAAGCCCGTTGGAGTGAGTGGTTGGCAATGGAAGATTGGATGGTTGGACCGCGCAGTCCGTGGTGAATGTATATTAGCTATGATGGTTACGATGATGAATCTCCTATGTAAAAATATATTTCCTATGTTCAATATATTTAATTTCCAAGCTTCAATCATTCTGGTTTACAGCGATGCAAATTGTATAACTCCTACTACTACTATATTCCCTACAATGTTGGTTGTATATTTTATCTACTACTCCATCCGTGAAGCAATATACATCGCACCCCCAACAACAATATACCCAAAGCAGCTACTATCTATCCACTACAAAATCGTCCAAGTTCCAAGACCTGCGTCGATCACTCCACGTAAATCCCGACGAATCCATAATCTACGCGAATTCACAGAATTCCAAATCACAACCCCATAGATTAATTAAGCTACACCCACATCTCCTTTACCCAAACGGGCATGACGACGACCCGGGAGCATGGGACCTGTCAAAAACGCGACCGACACCGGTTCAGGAGAATTCTCCTCCACACAGAATGCACAGAACAACTAGGGAAAAACAATTCCATTCAGGCCCACATGGTGTCGTTGCCCAGAAGATGAAATCTCTGCTTCAACATCAGCCAGCCACCAGCACTCGCAGTTGGCTACCAGCTGGACACTAGACATGCGACGGAGGCAGCACTAGGGGGTTTTAGTTCGTTTCTAGACGGGATAAAAATAACCGGGCGCAGGAACCCGGGGGTTTAGAATGATGGACGATGATGCTGATGCTGTCAGGGTTGAATTTTCAAACTAGACTAGATGAATTAGACTGGATGAATAAATTAACTCCTGATTTAGGAGATTTAATTTTTTAAGGTAATTGCTATTGATGAAGTTAGGTTGTCCTGACGCACCGCCACATCGGGGAAGTCGGGGTTCCCGACAGGAGGAATTTTGCACCTTCACGGGCTTGCTTGTTTGTTATCTCTCCATCTATCTATCAACTAACCATCTATCGTGCTCGGGAAGAATGACAAATTCCTCTCTTAGCTTATGAACTATCGACTACTATATCCCCTTAAGCTATATCATATCACCCCCAATTGGGTAAAATGACGCCTTCGGGCACGCCCGAAATTAACGACTCGTCATATTAAGCCCATTTTCATGACTCACTCACCTTTAATTAAGGTAACCCGTCAAAGTGTCAATTTTTTTAGAGGACTGTTGACACGGACATTTTCCATCTCTCGCGTGGTGGTTTCCTTCCATTCTTCCATTGCATTATCAGAATTTCTCCGTCTGGCATCCACCACCACTCACATTCCTCCTAACTACTAGTTACTTCTCCCTATTTACGGGCCTATACCCACTTCCAGTCGATCAAACAGCCAGCCACCCGTCAGGCACACATGCCAGCTACACCACTGACAAGGATGTCAACTGCAACCCGGGATCATGCCCAGGACAAGGCGGATCCTGTTATCCATCAGGCCTGTCGCTTCGACGAAACATCACCACATTCTGAATGGACCCAGACCCAGCTGCTTCCATTACTCCGGTCCCATCTCCCTCACTCCTTGCCCTTGCTCCGCCGTATCCAGCATGAGATCGCCCATCCGTCCCCCACTGCAGTTATCCTAACCACATTCCCGGGTCCAGCCTCGTCCTCAGCCTCGTCGCCAGTGTCACCCTCAGCCCCAGGGGAGTCAATTCCAGAACTAGTCTCTAATCCTGGTCTAGTTCCAGTTCCAGGTCCCCGGGTCCCCGACACTGCGACTCCTCTGGCACCTGACACTGCGGTCCCTGCAGCTCCTCCTTCGGATCCTGAATCCTTCGTCCCCTGGCTGATCGCCTACGTTGACCTTAACGCTGGCCGCGAGAATCAAGTCATGGTGTACTCGAGTCTCGAGCGCACCGCCTCTACTCCCTACACTAGCTCATCCCCAGAACCACCATCCCCAGAAGACACCACTGGTAGTGATAGTGATAGCAATAGCAATACTAGCACAGTCCCCATAACCACCCTCCCACCTCAACACCACCCCCTCCTACGCACCCAACTCCTCTCCCTGTTACACCACATCAAACAACACCTCCTCCCCCCTTACCTCGCCACCCTATCCCAAATCCCTTCAGCCCAATCCCAACCCCAAGACCACCAACTTCCCCCTCCTCCCCCGACCGCCTTCTTATTCGGAAACCTGCACACGGGCCTCTTCTCCACCCTCCTCAACACCAACACATCCTACTCTCTGGCGCAGGCCACCTCACCCGCGGATTTCGTCCCGGGAGTCAAAGTCCACCGCTTCAGTCAGCCAGCCTACGTCAAGTACCTCCTTCCTAGGGAAGTCATCTGCCATCAACCTCAAAACAAGGAACGAGGGAACTTACCTCCCGGCTTCCACTTCAGCGATGGCTGCATCCCGAGAAAGAATCTAGGACTTGTACGGTCGAGAACAGTTATCCCCAGATCGGAGGAAACGCTGGCAAAGTTGAGGAGTTGCGCGGTGTATCGCGATGGCGATGCGTCTCAGACGCCAGTTGCGTGGGCGTTTCTCGGCACGGATGGGAGTTTGGCGACGTTGCATGTGGAAGAGGAGGTCAGGGGGTTTGGGTTGGCTGGGGTTGTGGGGAGGGAGGTGATGAGGAGGGGGATTGAGGAGGATGAGGGTTTGAATGATGGGTGGATGCATTCGAATGCGGCGGAGGATAATTTGGCGAGTAGGAGGGTTATGGAGAAGTTGGGGGGGAGGGTAGGGTGGACGGTTTGTTGGTGTGTTTTGGAGGTGTAGAATACATAGTATGTAAATTATTGGTTGTATCTATAGTTCTTGAGAATGTTTATATTAGTACGTATAGAATAGATGCCGTTCATGTTCGATTCATATCGAAAGGGACAATTACCATAAGATGAGTATAGAAGACACTTAAGGTCACTGATGTGACATGATGAAAGCACCTGTGCTTCGCTGGACTGACATTTATGTTGAATACGTAAACCAATCAGATCAGACAGATGAGCAATTGAAAACGTTGTTCGTATGAAAATAGCAGTACTAATATATATATATATATATAACCCACTATAACTAGGTCAGGGAAAGTATGATATCTAATCACCATGAACATATATATCTTCTGGGCTAGTATCTAGCACGCAAAATATTTATTGCTTCTTATAACGAGGACATCCCTATTTCGTAGGTTGCCCAGGACTCGATAAACTCGCTCCTGTTGGGGTCCAATTTCAGTGCCTTTTAAGGTATATATCATACACATATCTACCACCGTTCCCTTTTATCTGAATAAAGTACATTGACTATAAGGTCCTCGGCGCAGCCGATAACCTGCGTCTTCAAACGCCGGTCAACGGCGAGGTCTGTCAGGATACAAACATCAATGATCTAATTATCCATGTGGCTCATCTTATTAGCTTCCTTAGTCAAGAACATACGTCGGAAAAGGGGACTGTTATTATGACGGGGACGGGGGGTTGGCGCTTGGGATGAGGGATGTGGTTGAGGTGGTAGGTGAAGGGCTGGGGGTTTACAAGGAATGTCATGGTTTTTGAGTAGGGAAACTTTGCTATCACCTTGTCGGTTTTGATAGTACGGCGGTCTTGTGCATTGGTTGAGGTTTGGGGGGATACTTTGTAAATACATACTAGCCTTGTAAATGGTAGAAATATGTCTAAAGCATGTAGCATCTCGGATTACTACTATCTCCTTCATTTCTGACCAATAGTATTATATTCCCTCGTTAGTATATACATTAGTGCACTGCATACCCACAGCACTACCATAAAGGTCTATTAACCAAGAGTAAGTGACAGTATCATATCTTATTCTCACTATCATCCCCCCACACTCCACACGCACCACTCATCCCATACTCAATCCCGGAATACCCCGGCGGTCCTTCATCCCTCGACCCATCGCCATCGTAAACAGCAAACGGACTATTCGCCTCCACCGTCTTAATCGTCGCCCTCAGCACCGCCCCATCAGCAGTGACAATCATATCCGACGCCCTATCTCCGCCATCACAGTCCCATCGACGTCCTCTATCAACGGGAATATTGATCAGTTCCCGAGATGATTGAGCGGGGAGCTCAGCACGAGGTCGGTAGAAACCCGTGTCGCTGAGTTCAGCAGCCCGGTTCTTTTTATAGGGGTATGATGGTGTCGAGTCGGGGAATGTGAAGGGGGGCAGGGATGGTGTGTGGCTGTGACTGTGTTTGTGCTTGTGCTTGTGGGTGTGAGTGTGATGGGTGTACTTGGGTAAGGGGGATGTGCTTCCTCTTCTTCTGGTTCTTGCTGTTGGTGGTGGACGGGGAGATATTCCTGGGGGATAGGTTAGTCTGCTACTATGATGTGGGTGCGTCCGGTGGTTAGAGAGTATACCGTGTGGTGACTCGGGTTTGCTGTTATGTATACTGCGCCATCGTAGCAAGGTGAAGGTTTGGTGTCTTCGTTTTCGGGCACGTTGAACGCAGAATACTAGTAAGATAACGAGAAGGACGAGGCCTACGGCGCCGGCCACTGTTCCCCCTATTAGGGCTGCGGTGGGGTGCCATGTGTCTGAGTCTTGGGATGTTGCGAGGCTGGCTTGAGTAGTGGACTGGGTAGCGTCTGTCGATGTTGTTGAAGCGAGTGTCGTGGTAGGATCTCGAGTTGAGGTTGAGGATGTAGTTATGGCCATCGTTGTGGAAGAAGCTCCTGAGGCGGTCGATATACTCCTTACAGCTGACGAGGGCCCTGTGCTGGTCTCTGATGAAGATTTAGGAGTAGAAGATAGTGCAGACGAAGTAGATATTGTGGATGTGGCAGGCTCTCGAACCAAGGTCGTCAAGGAGACGGGCTCATCCTTCGTGGTAGGAGCAGCATCAACGAGAGAAGAACTGCTACTACCACCACTGCTTCCACTGCTTCCACTCTCGTCCGGACACACCCCCGTCGTGCACGGATCGACCGAACAGCAGCCCTTGAACCCACCAGCAGCGCAGACATACCACTGCGCATTGGCCGGGCAAGACCCGTTCTGGCGGACAGCGAGCCGTGCCATGCTGCAAGCACTGCAGATATCGCTTACAACACAACAAACCAAATTAAATCAATAGTCGGGCACAGTAATTTTAAACGAGTGTCAGAGATCTAAACGAACGAAGTAATGATCTGATGTTCACCGACATGTGCCGATGGCGATGAGATATCGACTATACTTGAAGATTTGAGGGCCAAACTTAGTCAGTGCCAGCCACAGTGGGCGACGCCGTCTAGAATGTTGAATCCCGTTCTTTGTTCTGCTCATCCCGCAGTGGGTAAAGTTTCCAACTCAACCCGAGAAGCTCGTGAGGAGATGCATTGCCGCCCCGTCTAGACAAGGGACCCGGATGGTTTTCCATGGGGCGAATCCGATGCACCCATCGTCACGGCCTTTATAGCTCTGAGACCGATCGAGAAGGTCGTCTGCTTGCCACAAGGTCGGGAACGGTAGTACTAGAATCTATTGTTGGAGAATACTGCGAGGGTCTATGGTCAATGTCCTTCGTTAAGGGGTTCTTCGAGAAAAACCCCTGCGGGTCATCAAGTTTCTTTGTCTTCGGCCGCAGGATCAAAGAGGATGCGAGCGCTGACGCCAGCCTTCCTTTGACATGCAGTTACCATTTGCAGCAAGACATTAACACGAGACAGTGCTCTGTGGCTCAACACAAAAACTCCATTGTATGGGATGTAGTAAACGGCTATAAAAGACAATACACGTGAGTACACCAAACTCATCGCCTGGAAAGAAACCTTGGATATACACATATGAACACACAAATAAACACGGTCGAATTTTCGTCACGCTCTTTTCCTCCACCATCCCCTAGGCTAATACATCGCGTCTAGTAGACACGCTTGAAGGGGGGCACCGACTTGCACTCGCTCTCATCGAGAGTGTTGTGCTCAACGGCGCGGTAGCCAAGCTTGACCTCACCGTGGGGCTTCTTCTGCCAGGTGAGGGTGTGCTTCATCCAGTTCTCGTCGTCACGGTCGGGGTAGTCCTCACGGGCGTGAGCACCACGGGACTCCTTACGGTTGGCGGCGGCAATGGCGGTTTGAGAACTGTGACTCGAGTTAGCCAATATCCAACAATACAAACTCTCTAGGAATACATACGCGCAGGTCAACAGGTTACGAAGCTCAAGGGTCTCAACAAGATCCGAGTTCCAGATCATGCTGCGGTCCTTGGTACCAACCTGGTCGAAGGTCTGGTCGATAGCGGTGACCTTCTCAACACCCTCATCCAAACTCTCCTGGGTACGGAAGACGGAAACATCGGACTGCATGGCCTTCTGCATGGCGCTGCGGATGTCGTTGGTGGACTTGGGGCCCTCGGCGGTACGGACGAAGTCCAGGTCGGCAATGGACTGAGCACCAGCGTCGGAGCTCAGCTCCTTGTGGGGCTTGCCAGGGGTGGCGATGTCACGGACACGGTGGGAGACGGCACGGCCGAAGACAACCAGATCCAGAAGAGAGTTGGCACCCAGACGGTTGGCACCGTGGACGGAGACACAAGCGGCCTCACCGCAAGCGTACAGACCAGGGACAACCTGGTCGTTGCCGTTCTCATCCTGGGTCAGGACCTCACCGGTGTACTTGGTGGGGATACCACCCATGTTGTAGTGGACGGTGGGCAGGACGGGGATGGGCTGCTTGGTGACGTCGACACCGGCGAAGATAGAGGCGGTCTCGGAGATACCGGGCAGACGCTCGTGCAGGAGCTTAGCGGGCAGGTGGCTCAGCTGGAGGTAGATGTGGTCCTTCTCGGGACCAACACCACGGCCCTCACGGATTTCGAGGGTCATGGAACGGGAGACAACGTCACGGGAGGCCAGATCCTTGGCGGTAGGGGCGTAACGCTCCATGAAACGCTCACCCTCGGAGTTGAGCAGGTAACCACCCTCACCACGGGAACCCTCAGTGATCAGGCATCCAGCACCGTAGATACCAGTGGGGTGGAACTGGACGAACTCCAGATCCTGGTTGGGGAGACCGGCACGGGCGACCATGGCCATACCGTCACCAGTGCAAGTGTGAGCAGAAGTGCAACTGAAGTAGGCACGTCCGTAACCACCGGTGGCCAGGACGGTGTGGTGGGCCTTGAAACGGTGGAGGGTTCCGTCCTCCTGGTTGTAGGCGATGATACCGCGGCACTCGCCGTCCTCCATCAGAAGGTCGAGGGCGAAGTATTCGATGAAGTAGTTGGTGTTGTGGCGGAGAGACTGTCCGTAGAGGGTGTGGAGAAGGGCGTGACCGGTACGGTCAGCGGCAGCGCAGCAACGGTAGGCCTGGCCACCCTTTCCAAACTCCTTCGACTGACCACCGAACGCACGCTGGTAGATACGGCCGTCCTCAGTACGGGAGAAAGGGCAACCGTAGCCCTCCAGCTCACGAACACTAGCGGGAGCTTCTCTGGTCATGTAGTGAATGGCATCCTGGTCACCCAGCCAGTCAGAACCCTTCACGGTGTCGTACATGTGCCATCTCCAGTCATCCTCGTGCATGCTGCAGGCCGGACCATTAGCGCCTTCGCAAGACTCAAGAATATAAAACAACTCACTTTCCAAGAGCGGCGTTGATACCACCCTGAGCGGCGACAGTGTGAGATCTCGTGGGGAAAAGCTTAGAAACACAGGCAGTGTTGAAGCCAGCTTCCGCCAGACCGAAAGCGGCACGCAGACCGGCACCACCAGCACCGACAACGACGGCATCGTACTCGTGGTCCTGCAATTGCATTAACGACCATCGTTCCCACAACATATATCCACGTAGTAGCTTACAATGATAGGGTACTTCTGAGCAATGAAGCCTTCGGCCTCCTTGGCGCGCAGAGGGCCGTTGCCAAATATCCGGGCTAGCGGAGGGACGAGTTAGCAGATGTAGGCAGGGGCAGGCATGCGAGTCCAATGCGTACCAGCCGGGCGGGAAGAGGAGAAAAGACGTCTCTGGCCCAAAGTGCGGGAAATCTGCACCAGCAAGACGAGTCAGTAAGACCATTGAAGATAGAGGGAACATGGTGAGCCAGAGTTCGGCATCACGGCGAAAGAAGTCGGATACAGACCTTCGATGCGGGAGCTAGGCTCCGCATGCCCAAGGAGCTCATGATGACGGATCAAGAGAAAAGAAACACTTTTCCAATGAGTCCGAAGAGGGGAGATATGGTGGAGGAAGGGAAACCAGCGGCACAAAAAGACGGGGGAGGGGAGAGGAGAGACGAGGTCAAGGCCGGTGATGCTTTGCGAGCTGCACTTTTGGATCGTCGGTTCTGGCGAAGAGAGCGAAGAGAGTGGCTGACATAATCAGCGATTCACTTGCCGACGGGGAGGACCGGGGCCGAGAGCACCAATCAGAGGCCGCGCAGTGGTAATCACCTCGGGCAGCCGGCAGCCTGTCATTGGCCGAGACTGCACAGGCACGTGGCCGGTCTTCTTTTAACCCGGCAGCGCGCGAAGAATTCCGGAGCAACACGGCCGGCCTGGGGACGACGACTCTTATTGCTGGGGTTGATCGGCTTCCCAGCTCAGGGTTTCCCTTCTAGTCTCGTCCCGGCATACAGTGTTTCTGTGGTGACATTTTGCTGTCATTGAACCCCGACCAAGCTCTGTGTTGACCTTCTTCCGAAGTTGCCGGGCGCGCATGCAACGGAACTCTACGTACTACGACCCTTACTTGTCTGATGATGTAGGTTGCCATGCACTTTATACTTACTAGTGCAGTGTACCAGTAACTTATATGTCGTGTGACCGGCAGAATATCACTGTCATATATAACTGCACAATCATATTATAGATCCCATCGTAGACTGACTGAATCACCAATGTCATGTATGATCATACACATCCGTCCAGCCATGCAATGTAACCAACCCATACCGTCTAATTATACTGCATGTACGTCGCCGTCGAGTTGAACTTCAGGTTACCCTTGATCACCTTGTCCACCGCGGCGAGGAAGTCCTTCTCCGTGGCCACCTTCCGCCGCGCCCGAATGGCAAACATGCCCGCCTCTGTCGCAACACTCCGGAGCTCAGCTCCCGTAGCGTTGGGGCACAGGCGCGAAATCAGCTCCCACCGAATGTCCCGCTCCACCGACATGCTCTTGGCGTGAATCCGGAGAATGTTGGCACGACCCTCGACATCCGGGAGCGAGAACTCGATCTTACGGTCGATACGACCAGGACGCATCAGGGCAGGGTCGAGAGTGGACGGTCGGTTGGTGGCGAACATGACCTTGATGTTACCACGAGCGTCGAAACCATCCAGCTGCGTAATCAACTCCAACATGGTACGCTGAACTTCGTTGTCACCACCCGCTCCGTCGTCGAAACGAGCACCACCGACCGCATCGATTTCATCGAAGAAGATAATGCACGCTTTCTTTGTTCGGGCCATTTCGAAAAGCTCACGGACCATCCGAGCACCCTCACCAACATACTTCTGCACCAACTCACTACCAATGACACGGATGAAAGTAGCGTCGGTTCGGTTGGCCACGGCTCGAGCGCAGAGTGTCTTACCAGTTCCGGGAGGTCCGTAGAGCAGGGCACCCTTCGGCGGGTCGATACCGAGGTTGACGAAGCGCTCTGGTGATAGCAATGGCATCTCGACGACTTCTCGCAGCTTCTCAATTTGTTCCTTGCATCCTCCGACATCGCCATACGTCACATCGGGCTTGTCCTCGACAGTCATCATCGTCACGCTGGGGTCGATCTTGGGAGGAAGAGGTAGCATAATCTGATATTTATTGCGATCGACACTGTCATCTGTTAGAAGGGAAAATGCATAGCAAAACTGCAGGGCCATACCCGACTCTCATGCCCTCCTCGATATCCGTAGGACTCACGCGTTCCCCAAGGTTGACGACAAACTTGGCGATCTGCTTAACGTTGATAACATATTTGCTCTTATCCGAGTCCTTCTCATCCGAAATGATCTTTGTACAACGGGCCACCTGCAGCGGTTGCTCCTCCGCCATGCGCTGTCGGTCCGCAGCAACATCCCAAAGGTGTGGAGGCGCAAGACCGGTATCGGATTCCTAAGCAGCTAGTCAGACGTGTCCGGTATGACGTATATGGCAGACCTAGATACCTTGACACCAATCTTCTCGTTCACACTCGCTTGTCTGTCCTTGATCTGCTTTTCGAGCTTCTTTAATGCCGTGGCGTAGGGTGCGGCACCGTAGGTCTTCAATACTTGGATATCCCTGCGGCCAGTTAGCCTTCCAGATGCGCGAACCAACCACAGTTGATGCTGATAGAAAACCGGAGTCACCTACTCATCTGTAAGAGGGGTGATCTTCTTCTCTGGCTCTTCGTCATCGGCGAAGTTCTTCTTGTACTTCTCCCAGTTCTCTCCCGTGGCGCTAGGCATGGTGATGGGAGGATATGTGGCAAGACGGCAAGATGAAGGAGTAACAAATCAGTTCAGAAATGTATTTGTAGAGTGTGAATGAGGGGGGATTAAATGAAAGGTGCAAAGGCAATGAAGGGCGTGGTGGTGAGATGGAGCTTGATAGATGGAAGAGTGATGTGGTGAGCTCAGCTTGTTGCGGTTCGAGCTGTTGACGCTAGTGGCCGCCAAGCCCAGCAGCAACACCGCCCAAAACGCAACACCGAAGAAATTCCCAGAGCCGCCTCCAGGTTCTGGATCCCCTCGCCTCACCCACTCTTCTTTATCTTCCCCGGTTTCATCAATCTACGGTGTTTATATCGTAGCTATTTTCATCATGGCGTCGACAGCCTCCCAGCCGGCCCCCAGCGGCAATGCTTTCAAGGTGCGTCTTTTTCGCGGAGAGAAATACGTGTGGGCCGTTTTCTGATAGACTGCAGGACAAGGAGAAGCCTATGGCCGTCCGTACGTCCAACATTCTGGCTGCTAGAGGTATGTATCTATTCGGAATGTACTCAGGGGCTCAAGTACTAATTTCAATCAGCCGTCGCCGATGCCATCAGAACAGTACGCTTGCTTCGATATCGATATGACAAATGAGGGGCTAACCGCAACGCAGTCTTTGGGACCCAGGGGTATGGACAAGATGGTAGGATACATGTCTACTAATTGGAGGTACCGTGGCTAACATAGTAATAGATCCAAACGCCCAAGGGAAACACAATCATCGTACGAACACCTCTCCGTATACCGACTCTCACACCCCGCTAACCCCCGCAGACGAACGATGGAAACACCATGTTGAGGGATATGAGCGTCATGCACCCCGCCGCTAGGATGCTGGTCGATCTCAGTGCGGCCCAGGATGTTGAGGCTGGTGATGGTACCACATCCGTTGTCGTTATTGCCGGAAGCCTGCTCGGTGCTGCAGAGCGCCTGCTTGGAAAGGGTATCCATCCCACTGTCATCTCGGAGTCCTTCCAAAGAGCCGCTGCCGCCGCTGTCGAAATCCTCACCAACATGTCTCGCCCCATCAACCTGACGGACCGCTCCACCCTCCTTCAGGCTGCTTCCACCTCCCTCTCCTCCAAGATTGTTTCGCAGCATTCCGGCCTCCTCGGTCCCATGGCCGTGGATTCCGTGTTGAAGGTCGTCGACCCCAAGACCGCCGAGAACGTGGACCTCCGCAATATCCGTATAGTGAAGAAGGTTGGCGGAACAATTGAGGACAGTGAGATGGTTGATGGCTTGGTTCTGAACCAGCAGGTCATCAAGAGCAGCGGCGGTCCTACCAGAATTGAGAAGGCCCGGATAGGTCTGATTCAGTTCCAGCTCAGCCCGCCTAAGCCTGATGTATGGTCGAGGATCCCTTGAGCCTGGAATGCAATACTAACAATGGTTTAGATGGAGAACCAGATCGTCGTGAACGACTACCGCCAGATGGACAAGATCCTCAAGGAAGAGCGCCAATACCTCCTTAACATGGTCAAGAAGATCCAGAAGACCAAGTGCAATGTCCTTCTGATTCAGAAGTCCATCCTCCGTGATGCCGTCAACGACCTTTCCCTTCACTTCCTTTCTCGCCTTAAAATTTTGGCCGTCAAGGATATCGAGCGTGATGAGGTTGAGTTCCTCTGCAAGAGTCTGGGCTGCAAGCCTGTTGCCAACATTGACTCTTTCACTGAGGACAAGCTGGGTACCGCCGACCTGGTTGAGGAAGTGCAGCAGTCTGGTGCTCGCTATGTGAAGGTCACCGGTATCAAGACCCCTGCTGCCGCCGCCAACCAGACCGTTTCGATCGTCGCCCGTGGCGCTAACAACCTCATTCTGGACGAGGCTGAGCGTTCTCTTCACGACGCTCTTTGTGTCATCCGTTGTCTGGTGAAGAAGCGCGCCCTCATCGCTGGTGGTGGTGCTCCTGAAATTGAGATCGCCCACGCCCTTGCCATGCGTGCTCGTCAACTGACCGGCACGGAGGCTATCTGCTGGAAGGCATTCGCTGATGCCATGGAAGTCATTCCCACCACGCTGGCAGAGAATGCCGGTCTGAACTCGATCAAGGTTGTCACTGAGCTGCGCCACCGCCATGCCCAGGGCCAGCACAACGCAGGAGTCAGCATTCGCAGTGGTGGCGTGAAGGACGACATCACTGAGGAGAACATCCTGCAGCCGCTCCTGGTGAGTACCAGCGCGATCGAGCTGGCTGCTGAGACGGTGAAGATGATTATGAGAATTGATGACATTGCTTTGTCGCGGTGAGCGATGGCGCGGAGTGAATTGGAAAAGTAAGCCAGGTGGTGTACTATGACGAGTAATTTATCAATCATACCATGTTCAAAAGATAGATCGTTGGTGTCTAATTGCACATAATCATCGCCATGCTATTTCTTCGTATTTATCTACTGTAGTGTTCGCTACGAATCTAATCTTGATGCTGTGTCCCATTCATATCCATGACTCTTCACCCTGGCTTACTTTTCACCCTGGCTGTATGCAGTGCCGATACCACACTTAGGGAAGGACAGGACGTTACTCCAACCCGCCACCCGATTGACATCGGAATTTACCATTAAATCGCCGGAAGTCACAGATGATTTTAATTAATTGCATAATTAAGCCAGCAATCATGTGTGGAAAACTGACTATAAAGGAAGGCTCCGTCTCCCCTTCCTCTCCATCTTTCCTCTCTACAGCACTGCTAGTCATGAGCACTAATCCTAAGGGATAGTATACTTATACTGCTACATTGTATATCAAATAGCATTCTCAAGTCTCGCAATATCCATCTCAACATCTCTGCCTTCCTGCCTCCCTACCATCGTTTCAGTTACCCATACTCGTCATCAAAAATGCATGTACACAAAAGGGTGTCACTTCCGGGTTCCAGGAGCTTGATGTCTCTCTTCTATAACCTATTGGCTTGACTCCCATCAGCACATCACTTTCTTCCGTCTCTCCGATAAACTTCGCATGTGCCTTCAGCCGGACAAATCCATTGAAGTGAATTTCGCCCCCTAACCGGGGTGGTCGGTCGGGTCACCGTCGTTCATCAGGACCTATATCGATATGGGAAGCCATGTATAAGACATTCTTATGGCTTCTCCAAAACCCTATTGTCGGTGCTCCGACTTTTAAAAGATCTGCTCACAAGACAGACATCTGGAGTCAACGACATGATGCCTTCTGCATATATCAGATGCTATGAACCAAAAGATTTATGATATTCTTATGATGCTCTTCGCGCCATAGAAAGGAAATATGATCTTTGGAAGAGATACAGGCATTGATATGTTTAGACAATCTCCTCGCCGAGCTAAACGGTATCGGCGTCTTGCTTATTATCATACAGGATTCACCAATGCCCGTACCACATCTCAGGCGTGAGCGACCTGCCTTAGGTGTTCATAGCAGCACACTCATCATAGAATGCTGTATGTTTTCTGCGGTGTCAAGTTGCTATATGATACAATACTGGACACAAGTTCTCTCCAATGAAGTCGATGCGATGTGCTGTCACCGACCGACTAGGGGTCAGATATAATATTCGCCTGGTATGGTCTAGACTATATGCGTCGATCCAGCTGAGAGCATAGTACAATGCTACACGCAATATGCTCGACGCATCAGCGACTGAACTGAATCCTCCTCCTGTTTGCGCGAAGAAGGATCACTCCTGTGGTTAAGAAAGCAACATGGGCGGAACGGGCTAAGTCCTGGCTTATCCTATATGATCTGCCGTGAGGTTAGCACCAGAGACTGCTGGTCTCGAGGATTAGGGGTTGTTGTTCTATCTTAATTCTTACACCTGTGCAGATACCACAAAATGGAAGACCTAGTGGGGCCCTACACAGGGGACTACGGGGACTTTGCGCCTATTGTGCCTTGGATGGGCTTGTTTTGGAGTGACAACGATCTAGCCCGAAATACAGGGCCTGCAACTTACAATAATACTCTCCGCGGGGTCCGCCTGCATCCGGGACAAGAAACTGGTGCAACATTTATACATACATCATGCAGTCTATGTCCCAAGTTCAGCTGTCTCCACTGCAGCAGGTCCTCATGATAGGACCAGGCATACTGCGCTCTTGATCGAACAACTCACCAGCAGCATACTCGGCGAGGGAGGCAGGAGCATAGGTCATTGTTGTCCTATGCCTGGAGCGACTGACGTTGCTATAAATAAGGCAGAGGTCTATCTGAAGACAGATAAGCCTAAGGTACCAGTGATCTAGCAAAGCGCAAGAAGCGCAAGCGTGGAGAACAGAGCCGAGCATGGCATCTCCGGGCATACTGCGTTTCTGTTTTTGTGATCCCCACTCTACTGTGTCAGTGTCAGGCGACAAAGTTCAAGTTCAGTGAGTCTGGCTCACTTTGTTCGGACTATAAAATGAGAGAAAATGTACCTATCAGAAGATATTTTATTTTGGCTCTACATAACAATGTCGGTCAGCTCCTCTCGATACGGTGGGAGCAAAAACAACCCTGGGATCGATTATTGCCGAATTGACCATACCTCGGCATCAGAAATTACGACGGTGGTTGAGCACGACAGGTTGTGCTAGCAGCGTCTAGCTTGAGTTGATCCACAATCTATTCGACTTCCTTGGTGCTTGCTGCCTGTTCAACAGAGATGACAGCCTGTCAGTGAGCCTTGCTACACCTATAACACATGCGGTGTCTGCCATGCTACACTTCTTGACTATTTTTTCTCATTTGGCTTGCATGTTGCACCCGTCTATTGGGTATGAAACACACCGGAGGTGGAGTTGGTCCGTCTTAGTTATCCGTGCTCGAACGCTGCCTCCGAAGAGCATCTTTACGTCCGTCAGTGACGGAAACGATCTTGATATTGTGAACAGTAAACATATGGCGCTTAACAGGCTGTTCACGTTGCTCTAGATGGGTATCCGCGTCACTGTCTTTCACTGCTTCCTCTTCTTGAGGAACAGTCACAATTAGAGGAGCACTAGGCAGCTGAAATTCGAGCTCGAACAAACTGGGCCACGAGACAAGAAAGCTCATATGGTACTATGGGTAATGGCCTGGTTTTGGGTGAATATACCACTAGAAAAGGCGGGTGATAATTTGAACAGCTCTGTCTGTATTCATCCCCTATCAGACGGGGACTCGGAGGAGTCGATCTAGATATTCACACTCCAAGATGGAATTTGATCGGAAGATGGCTTTCAAAGACATACAAGGTTGGAAACCATTATTCGAGCAAATAGTGGGTGTCAGCTGGGAGGGCCTGGCAGGAACAAGGATGGAAACGTATAACCCATATGAACGCTCTCGATGAATCCCAAGATCTATTAAGCGTGAAATCGAACGATGATTGTTCAGTCCCCGAAAAGCAAACGGAAAGATTCACAACCTCGAAAGAAGATCACATCGACAAAGGACTGACGGCAGCGCAGACAGCGCAGGGAATTCCCGCGAAAGTGGAGAAGATCCTGTCACACTGGCCTTTGTTGGCAATTCATCATGCGGGACGGCAATATGCTCTACAATCACAGGACACAGTGTTGCTTGGTACCTATAAGATGAATTGCAAGGATTCACTTGTTGGTGTGTTGTTGTGCAATCTACTCAAATCAAAGCTGGTGTCAGTTTTACCGCCCAACAAACCTATGAAGACCTGAGGGGCTCGCATATGCCGTCACTCTACATCTCAAGGCGCATGCAATGCCAACTTCCAAATTACAGATGGGAAGCTTGATTGTGCTGTCTCTCTCCTTCACGGCGATAGACTTGAGGACGAAACGCATCTTCACCCTCGCTGCATTGCGGCTTTGTCGAGATTCACACACTAGCAGGACTATGAAAGAACATGCAATTCAGTGCTCAGAAATTAACACTGGGAATCATTCACTAAGGATACTGTCGCTGCCGCACTGCCGATATTCACATCCTCAGTGAATCTCTCATGACAAATTGTGGCCGCACAAACAAAAAACTCAGCTATATATACAGGCGAGAAAGCATTTTCAATCCTCTCCTCTTTTCATTTCTTTCCTCACTCAGTTCTCTTCTCACTTCATCCCTCTCCTCTCAACCCGCTCTACACCGCAATTCTTCCAACACTTAATGAGGTTGGCTCTCTATATTCAATTGCTTCCTTGAAGAAATAATCTCTTGGTGAAGAAGATAAGGCACTACGAGCTACCTATACTCAGCTTGCAGAGCTCATGGCTCTCCTCGGTGGCTTCCAGGCCTCATGAAGTGTATGACCTACTCATGACAACCCGTTGAATGGTATGTTTGCTGACCGTCGAAGGGATTTTACATCAAGAGAGAGGACGAGGAAGTTGGTATTTTCACAGACAGTGAAGATCGCAAGCTCCAGTGTCTCACGGCACACAGAGCTGGTACGTGTCTATCCTTGCTCCTTTCCTATCACAGGGCGATGACGTCTATCTTTGTGGTATCATTCGTTGAACTGATTGAACAGTTCTCCTACATGCTAGACAAACTGACAGCATCTTCCAAAAGAAACCTGAAAGAGATGATTTCCAGGGAATTTTGTTCCCTGGTCCTGCGCTTCATCTGAACGTAATCATCTCTCTCCATCACGGTCGCTCCTATGATAATCGACACGAACCACAACCTCAGCGATCCTGGCGTGGACATGATCAATGCCGAATAGGTCAGTCCCTTTAGAGTAGTGCTGCTATGCCTCTTGAATATTGACTAACACTCGCACATTCTAAGTGAAACCTCATCGGCGTTCCTCAAAATGATCTTCCAAGTTCTCGAAGACACAGCTAAGATCTCGTCTACAAATGGGAAAGAGTTCCTGAAGGAATTCTTTCCGATTATACTGCTAGGAGTAACAAACTCTCCTAGGCGGATCACTGGTCCCCAGAACATAAAGAGAATAAAGCGCAGTGCTTTTCTAAGCATCATCCAAGCTTTCTCGTTGTCTCCTTCTTTGCACGGGACCTGCATTCCCAGCAATTGATAAGGAGGGTGCTAGCAGCACACCTTGAAGCACATAGCAATCAAAGCTCACTTCACAACTGGTTACTCCGACCTTGTTCAAACGGCACCAAGAGACGTTACTGGTTGACTGGCTATCTCAGATAGAGGTTCCAGAGCTACCAGTCCTTCAACCGATACAACTGCTTGCTAGCATCAACATCGGCAACCTCGACTTCCAGGTGGCAGTCTTCAACCACTATCACAACCAGCTCACCCTCTTGTCCAATCACCTCTCCTTCTCCAGGACTCGGACTCATACCCTCTTATGTTCGATATCAATTCAATATCATACCGCCTCCCTTAAATGTGAAGCTGAGTCTGCATGCAGTAGCAACCAGAAACCTCCAGTGAGTATCGTTCTTTCTAAGTATTTCTATCCATGGTTTCTTCTTACTGAT